CACGACCAGATTTGCCCTTATTTGGGCATCTGCAGCCGCGGCGCGGCGCCTGGCGCGCGGGCGCCCCCGGCGGCGAGCGAGGGAGGGCGGGCGAGGCCGGCCGGGCGGGCTGCGGGAGGAGCGCCGCGGGCGGGGAGGGCGAGACCGGCGCCGACGGGGGTCGCCCGCGCTGCCCCCGGCAGCCCCTCATTCACCGACCCGCTTGAAATGCCCCGGAGAGCCGCCCGGGCCCGTGTCGCCTTCCTGACAACAAAACCCCCAACTCCAGGCCGCACAAGGACGCCTGCCCGCCTGCCCTCCCAGCTCGGCGCCCTTCCTTTTCCACTGACCTAAGATAACCAAGGAGATGTTCCTCGGGGCTTTGCTAATTGGTGCTACTAACTGCATGGGTTCCATGTAATTCATCCCCCTTGCATTCCTTTATCACCTTTCTTCCACCATGACCTTTGTGGCCCCTTTTATCTTGCACTGCACTGGGAATTTGCCAGTTCCAAGGGAAAGAGGTCAGCCCTAAAGAGGGCGGTACAGATTCCGCTCACAATCCAAAGGTTCCCTGTTCAGCTCCTGGGTACCTTCAAAGACAACCGGAAAAGAATCCAAAGCCCCGGAGAGCTGCTTTTAGTGGGCTGGGCGGCATGAACCAGTGATCTGATTTGGGAGCTTCCTGTCAAGCCCAGCCTTTCTCTGGGACCTTGAGGACTGGAATCTTGCATAGCTGTGAGCAGTCTCTTCAAAAGCATGGTGGTGACGCAGTTTGCGTTACATGCTGAAGGCCCCTGATTCAGCCCCTGGCGTCTGAGAAAAGTTCTGGTGAGCTGAGTTTTTACCAGCCTGTAGGCACCGATGAAGCCAAAGATACCTCTGTTCGCACCTGCTAGGCTGAAAGGGTCATCCACTGAAGTGCTTATTGCCAGCTTGCAAATACCATATAGATGGGCAGCCGTTTAATCCTTTGAGATTCTACTTGCCAAGCAGCGGTGAAAAGATCACGTCTTTGTCCCAAAGGAAATTGGGACATCTCCAAAGAGTGCATTATGGCCTTCATCAGCATCTCTTGGGTTCACTCCTAGCTAACCAAACAATCTCAAACTGGCAACAAATCAGTCTCTAATATTGCTTCATGATTGATCGATATACCTGATTAGTAACAAACCAGCGTTTCAATTTCTGGAAGAAAAGAACCAAGTCATAACTCAATGTTTGAAGGCATCCCCTGTTGAAGCTTAGCCTGCTAAGACCACCTGGAAACACCTGGGGCCATCTTGAGCTCCACCATGGGAGAAAGGTGGGATATCAATATAATAAATGAATACCTATTCTGGAAATTGCAACCAGAAAATACTTACGTAGTGACCCCGTTCACACAAGCCAGAGTGCAGGCTGAACACGGGTAGAATCAGAGCTCGTGGTGCTGTCTGAATCTAGCCAAGCTAACAAACCATTTTTCTTAACCACAATCAACCCAGTGTGAACTCAGCTATTTCATCCTTTCCCAACCGGATGCTTTCCAAATGTTTTGGACTACCATTCCCATCATTTTTATTATTCATTTATGAATAGTTATTTAAATCACTTCTCACTGGAACCAACCAACCAACCAACTGGCCAGGCTGCCTGGGATGGATGGAGTTTATAAACCAATTATCAGGAGGATACAAGATAGAGGGAAATCTAGACTGAATGACAGTCATACTCGCAATATAATCGTTAACATTATTACTAAGTTTGTATTGGCTAAAGATGCAGCATTTCTCTGCTGATCAGTGAGCAGATGGCATGAATATTTTGTCCCTTGGCAAGGACATTTCGGGGCAACAGACTCAAACATTCTGGGCCATTTTCCCCATATGACAATCTTTAACAAGGGCTCATGATGACTAGAAGACTGGCTGCAGCGGAGGCGTTTGGGGACCGTGGCCGATGTCACGAGGAGGTGAACGGATGTGTTAACAATTGGGCCAAATACAAAAGATCCAATCTCTGACATTTCTAGGCAAAGCTCGTGTACACACAAATTCATCGCAGCGCCCACCCACAACGAGAAAAACGCTCTCGTCCTGGTCTTGCTCACTAATTCAGTAGTTATGGTGGGAAAGAGAACCTTCCTCCTGGTGAATCCTGACAAAGAGAAATTCACCAATGCACTCTAAGGACTAGCGAACTTTCATTCATAAGTTAGCACAATCCTATAAATATGAAAGCAGAAGTTAAATCCTGCATTCAGTGATTCGTAAGTTTCAGTGATCTACCCATCAATTTAAAGGCAGGGGAGACAATCCGGACCATCGAAATTATTCTGTGATACCCTCTAAATAACACAATCCTAGTCCAGAACTCCTGCTTCTCTTTCCATTTCCTCCTTGGGCTTTTGTATCCCCCCTCCTGCTCGATATTGTGGAATTTCTGAGTAATTCCCTGCCCACCAAGGCGGGCAAGTGGAACAAAGGGGCTGATCTGACCCTCTGCAAAGAACAATTGCAGCATCTCTTCACGGTTAGCGAAAAGTCTTTTGCCGAAGACCCTTTGGGAGTAGCGGAGGGAGGCTCCGGCGTAATCCAGGATCTGCTTCACAGCGCTGACAAATTCAATTGCAGGCAGCTGACTGTTCACCGTCGCACTGCCTGGCACCGGTGAAATTATGAATAACCGCACCTTTGGTGCATTACGCCTCAGTTCACTCTGCCTGCTGGCAAGATGACTATTCTAGGAACACAGGATGAACACACACACAATTGTACAAGCAGATGGGCCCAGCTCAGCCTTATCTGCCATGTTTTCTAGACTCTTCGCAGGCGGCTTTTAAATGTGCAGAGCGAGGCTGCAGTTCACAGCTATTGTCAGACGGGCCGGTGCCTGGGGTCAGCAAGTCTGAGCAGCTGCCAGGGGTCTGATGGGAAGAGCCCTCGATAAATCTCCCTCTTTTTCAACATTGCAACCCACTGGTTTGCTTGTTTCGTGCTCTGGCTCAGACAACTGTGGTGGCGAGGAGGAAGAGGAGCGAGTGCCGAGGCTCCGTGCATTTCTGCCGGCCGAGCAAGCAAGCAAGCGGTGGCCACGCAGAGGAAAGGCCTTAAGCTGCGGGAGCAGCTGGTGACAGCAGCAGTGGGGAGATGGACGTGTGGGGGGGCATCTTCCCCGGGGGCCCCTCTAAAATCTGCAGTCAGCACTGCCAGAAGAAATCAGATCAAGGGCCTGACAGTTTTCCGCAGTGGCTGGCGAGATGCTCTCAAAGGAAGCCGACGGACGAGCCGAACTGGCTCAGCAGCGCCCTCCTCCCCATGTTAGCAAAAGGCTTTTGGGATTGCGGAAACTGGCGCATGGGCACTCGTTTTAAACTCGTTTTCTCCACCGTGCCTCTGAAGCCATGCTGGAACAGTCTGAGGATTGTTTCAGATGCAGAAATAAAAGCTAGGGAGAAAATCATTGGTGTGTCTAGCGAAAGCTTTTATTGTGCAATTATACTGCCACAAGAATAGATTTTTATGGCGGGGAGTGTCCAGACAATGATGCCCTTCCACCAGGCAACCTTTCATGTTCCCCTCTGCTTCTTTCATTTTCTTACAATTTAATTCCTTTTTTGCTTGTCAGAGAAACATTTGTTGAGGCAGAAAAGAAAGGCTGGGGCACAGTCCTGTTGGACTGGTAATGTTGGAAATCTGGAAGTATCTCCATGCATTGATTTTTCTTCTTTCGATTGGAGACAGGCATTTAAACATGCTGTATCCATCCTTAGGGCCTAATCCTTCCCAGGTCCTTCACTTTGGATTCAAGGATACTTGGGAAGGAATGAAATCACCTATGTCAGAATCGAAATACAGTGTATTGAATACCGTGGTGAAATATCAATGCAGAAGATAAACAAACCATGGAAAGCTTACGAGCACCTTATCTGTGGCCATATTGGTTTGCTGAATAAGGCAGGGGATTCTCCCTGGGCTTCCAAAGTTGTCTGGGAGAACAGTGCGTCAATTCCTCCCCCCAGGATGAGAACAAAAGATAGCACCTCTTGCCACGGATTTTATATAGTGAATCTCCCCCCTTGTTTCAGAAGCAGTCAGTGGAAACAGGCTGTAAACACCTCCTCCTCTCTGGGAAGAAAACTGCGTCAGTAAAACAAACAGTTTTGTTCTCACACCAAAAGCAGCTCTTATCTACCAAATGCAGCTTCGCAGCAATTCTCTCCCTAAAAAGCGGCTTTGTCCGTGGCTTTTGGACACTGGAAATGTTCACTATACCTGTTGTATACACTATACAATGTTCAACGACCTGTTGAATCTTAATCATCTCCCCACTGTTCTTCTGGTATTACCGGTTCATTAATTTCATTTCTATTCTGCCACATACCCAGCGCTCTCTGGACAGGTTACAGCAATGCAGCAAGCAAAGCACTAACATAAATACCATGAAAACAAAGCAGTATTAAAATGAATTTCAAATACCTAAAGTTTGCGGTAAATATAAAGCACCTGGTATAAGTAATCTGCTCAAGCTCCTGGACTGGTGTATAAACCTCTAAAACCTTCAGCATAAAGGGCCGTCCTACCCGGCCTGGAAAACATGACAAGGTTGGCACCAGGTCTGCCTCAGCGGGAAGACTGTACCATAGATGGGGGCCAACACCGAGAAGTCCTGCCCCCGTTCGCCACCCTCCAAGCAGGCAGGCATGCATAGGGGTAGGTCTCATGGAGCACAACAGGGCTTATGCCTGAAAAACACTCGAAAGAGGAATGCAATGGGGCTTCTAAGTAGGCATGCCACACCTTAAGGCTGCACCGCAAATGTCCAAAAACTCAAGCCAGGGGCCTTCCCGGGGGCAGCCACGCCGCTGCCGCATCAATCCCCCCTTAACCAGGTCTCGCTTCCACCGCTGCGCGGGCGGCGGAAGCAACGCAAGCTGGACCCGCAGCGACGAGCGCGGCGCGCATCTCTTCGCCTTTCCGCCGCCCTCGCTCTGCGGCTCAGCGGGGCGAGCCGCGCATGCGCGATCGGGCGCTTCCCTCCCCGGCCCTTCCGGCGGCACCGCACGGGTAAAGGAGGCCAACGGATCCGGCTGAAGTGCGAGAGAGGGCGGGAAAGGCGCCCGGGGGATGCCGGGGCCTCCGCGGGGGTGCCCGAACCCCCTGTTCACGCGCTGGCTGCAGGAGTGGCGCGATCAGGCCGCCGAGCGGGGGCGCGTCCGGACCCAGCGCGCCTACGAACGGGTAGGCCCCGCCCTTTCCCGCGTGGCCCCGCCCACTTTTGCCCCAAGCCCCGCCCACCTCTGCCTTGGATTCTGCCTTTATTTCTATCGTGCATTTATGTTTTTAACCTCCCGTGCACCTTAATAGCTGTTAATAAAGAATACGATTATTAATACATTTTTAAATTAATAGTAAGAGAGCTTTTGCCCTCGGGTGGGGCAGAAATGTACTTCATTTATATACTTGATATAATATATATAATAAATAATTTATTTTACACAATGATTTCAGATGACTAACAAGGTATAAGTATTCAACTGATTGATATTAATAATGTAAAAGGACCACCCTGCACAGACCCCTCTTCTAGTTTCTCCCCACCTAGATGGAACACCTAGACCAGCTGCCCCAGATCTGCTGCCCTGCAAAGGTTTGGGACTTCAGCTCCCAGCAGCCACAGTCAGCATGGCCAATGGGTGGGTAAGCTGGGATTTGAGCTCCCAAACAGCTGAAGGGCATCAAATTTGGGGAAAACTGAAACACTGGTAATCCGTTCCCCTTTTGTGTATTTGTTCTAGTACTGTTGCTGTGCTGCCAAGTCTTTTTAAAAATCCCTATGCGGTTGACTTATAAATATTAAAATGACAGTTAAAATAGCACTTAAAAATCAATTCCCTTTGCAGCAATAATAATGCAGAGTACTACAGAAGCCGTACAATAAAACAGCGTAATTAATTTAATTGTGAGTCATAGAAAGCCTCAGCAAACAAGGATGCTTTTGGGTGTGTTGGAAAAAAGCCACATACTCTGCCTCCTGAAATACACAAGGGAAAGTTTTCCATTGAGTAAGCACCATTATCAAAAAGACTCACCTCTGAGTTCTGGCACGGCAGTAATCCCAGAAATCCTCTCCTTCATGCCCAGGCACTGAGCTCCCTCCGCAAGTATCCACTCCCCCTGCGCAGCGGGCGCGAGGCCCGGATCCTTCAGTACTTCGGGGAACGGATCTGCCGTCAACTAGATGAGCAACTGGAGAAGCACCGCGGGGCCCAGGATGCAGCAGGTGGGACAGGTGTGCATGGAGGGAAGGTTCATCGCGTTCCTGGTGTACCTATGAAATCAGGATTTAGGGCCAAAGTTATGGATCGTCTGCGAGTTTCCAATTGCACTGTCTGGTGTGTGACACAGACTTTAGCTTCCAAAAGGTGATTAATGGTTGTTTAATCACATGTCTGCCCCATTAAGTATTATCTAATTTTAATATCAAATGGGTTGTATCAGGCAGCTGGAAGGGACAATACAGAGGAAGATCTGAGAAGAACGGAGTAGGAAATTGGTGCTAAAAGCCAGCTTGGCAACCTGGGTTTCCCCTGAAGTCTGAATTGGGACTCCTGGAGGGCTGGATTGGTTTCTCAGGTCTCAGGCTTTGCACCCCTGCCTCGCCCAGACTTTGGGCTTGTTTTGGGCAGACGTGCATAAGGCAGACAAGGGATGGAAGCAGCGCTCTTCACGTCGGGACTCTCCTTTCCCATTTTTGGCTCTTCTGACTGCGAGGCCTTAAATAGGAAAACTGGTATTATCTTAGAAGGCGAAGAACAGCTAAGTAGGACTTTGCTGCTGGGGTGCGTAGTCTTTCGCGGACTCTTTTGTCCTGCTTCCTCTTTTGTGGGAAAAAGAGAGAGGATTGTAGAAAGCAGGTGCATAGACGCAAACGTCCTCCATCAGTTTAGATCACGGAATTTGTGACTGTGAGCCAGACCTCCTGCACTCTTTGAACTGGTTCCATTTCCGGCAGGGGACACTGTGCCGCCGTTCTTGGCTTCCCCCAGAGTGCCCTTCTCTTCCCTCTTAAAAAAAAAAATCAACACGTTTTCTCACTAGCATTTGTGATTACTCTGAAATTGATTTCTGTCGATGTTGGGTTTAAAGGAGTTTTGAGATGTGTTGACGAGTGTTGACCCTAACCCTCTGCACCTTCGGGGCGAGTTTCTCGTCCTTTGCCACACCTCCTGCGGCAGCCATTTTGTGGTGGTGCCCGTGAGTGCCGTCAATTTAGAGAACTTGCGTCATGAATTCCAGATCTGCAGGCCCCTGCTTCCTCTTGGACAGGACAAGAAGATGGCCTCCCCAGCTGCAAAGGTGCCTCCATCGCTGATTTTCCAGCCCGGTGGCCGCCTTCGTGCTCCGACAAGCCCGAGCAGCAATTAAAGGTGAGGACCAACACATCTTCTAACCCCTTATTAATCAAAATGGGTTAGAAAAGGATCCTTGGCTGTTGCAGAAATCTTGGCTGCAGCTTGACAGATCAAAATCCTCCCCATCATTCATCAGAAGAATTGCAAATACCTGCCGCTCTTCTGAAAGGTATCCCGATGCAGAGATTCCGTGCAACGGGGCAGCTGGCATCTTGCGTATCAGATCCAAAGGCTGTGATCGCCTCAGATGTCTCACCAGCGTCACTCCTGGCTGCTCTTGCTGGCCATGGGCTTGGGTGGCGCAGGGCCCGCAAGCGAGCAGGCCGGGCGCCGCTCCGCCGCCTCTTTCGGACCGCCACTGCTGTGCAGGCCAGCGCAAGAGGCAGGGGACCCGGCAGCTTGCCCGGAGAAGAGGGGGAGTGCGTCCCGGGGGTCTTGCCGATGCGGCTGGGGCTCTCCCAGCTGCCAGCCTCGCTGGCCTCCCAGGGGAGAGGCCCGTGGAGGAGACGGCGCTCCCTGGCCTGGGCACGCCCGATTGCTCTTTCTCCTTCTAGGAAAAGCGGCACGGATCACGCCAGCGCGGCAGGCGCTACGCCCCGACTCAGCGTTCGGCCGCTTATGCGGTGCTGTTGGCCCTTTACCAGGACAGCATGGTAAGAGCCAGGGGGGCAAAGCCCAGCTGACCCTCACAGGAGGCATTTGGGGTGGGGCTGTCGTCCCAGAGCCTTGGAGCAGGTGGGGCAGAAAGCCACGAATGGATGGGCTCCCACACTGGGGAACTGCGAGTTTGTTTGTGGCGATTGTTGCGGGGGGGAATTGGAAGGTGACTGTATTTGTTCTTCTTTTCCCAGAGTTCTCACTCCAAGGGTTACCTGACAAAGCTGGAGCTGCAGAGAGCAGCACAGCCGCTGTGTGATAAATCTTTCACTCTGGTAAGTTCCAAGACTCGTCGCCTCTTCCCGGGATCCAGAGCAAACGTCAAGTTGTAGAACTCTCTCTCTCTCTCTGGTTATGATGTTCATTCTTGCTGGGTTCCCTGCTCCCATAATAGGTGGATCCTGGGAATAAGAACAATGCTTGGTCTGCAGTCAGCACTCTGATTCGCAAGGAGCTAGTCCTCAAGACCAATATCCCAGCCAGGTGAATATACTGCGCCCAAGATTTGGGGATGGAGAATCCATGAATGTATGTAACTTGGGTTTGACTTAGACGTGTGAGCTTTCAATAGGATGCCTCCATTTTAAGCGAATGAGTCCTCAGAGTTGCATCCATCTGCGGGTATTTGTCCCCCAAAAGAGGCATGCAGAACCTTTTCCAGCCGGAGGGATGAATTCCTCAGGACGTGGGTCTGGCCTTCAGGCCTGAGGTTCTGCAGCCCCAGGAAGGGAGAGTCCAGCAGGGCCCAAACACAGACAGATTTCACTTGCCTCTGTTTCCCCAGATACTCTCTGACGGAGGCGGGGCTGGCCTTAGCCCAGGAGCTGGCAGGTTTGAGAGCGCCAAACGGTCAGGAGCCCAACTTCCCGGCAGCTGAAATCAGAGAAGAGCTGCTGCTTTCGGAGGAAGACAGTAGAGATGGGCACGTCCCGGACAGGTTGGATCGGGGTGCTCCCCTGCTCATTTTCCTGCACTAGGCCTCCTCAGTCTGCCCCCCGCAGATGTATTACACTGCCACAGCCATACTTCCCAGCTGGCAGGGCTGTTGGCTCAGGATGAGGGGAGGTGTTGTCCTCCAGCACCTTTGGAGGGCTCTTGTCTGGGGCAGATGCGGCCTTTTCTCTAGGAACTCTGCTGGAAGGCGGAGGTTTCCTCACGCAGGCCATGCTCGTCCAGCGCCGCCCTGGACGGATCAGCGGGTTGACACAGGCAGCTTCCCGTTTCCTTGTTTATGTCAGCTCCTTACTGAGAACCAGGAGGTCCGGAACCTGGATCTTCTGGGCGAAGGACCGTAGCGTCAAGAGGTTCCGCTTTGCGGGCAGAATCCCCAGGCTCAGCCACTGGCTTCTCCAGGAAGGCCTGCCACCCCCGACTCTGACAAGCTGCAGCTGCCAGTCTGTGTCAGCAACACTGGGCTGCAAGGAGCCGTGGTCGGACCCCCTGCTTCCAGCGTCCTTATGCGTCTTGTTTTAAATCCTGCCCGGGAGCCGCCCATCCCGTCGGTCCCCAGAACTTCCAGCTGCTGGCCGTGAGGTGCCAGCCCCGCTCTGGTGGGCACGTTTCCCCAACACGCTTGAGGAGCAAAACAAACGGGAAGCAGATCTTGACGTTCCTCTGTGGCAGAAGATGCTGGAATCAGTGCCCTCTGAGCCGGCGGGGGGCAGTCTTCCAAGGCCGTCTGACGTGGTTCCCCATTTTCTTCCAGGCCTGGCTCTGTGGAGCCAGGATCAGAGCCACCCATGCCTCAGTTTACCCTTCAGCCTGGACAGTTCGACATCATCCTCTGTGTCGACATCATTGAGACCACGGGGTGAGTGGCAGCTGTGGCCGGTGGCGCTGGGCTCGAGGTGTCGGTGCGTGTGGGTGAGGCCTGGACACGCGTGTCGTGGCTGGAGGCGCACGCTTGCGGCAGCGCAGCCTCCGGTGCTCGCCCAGAGCCGGCTTGGATCGCCGGCCAGAACAGCCTCCCGCTCCTGTCGTTTTGAATTGTGCCCTTAATGTATTTATACTCACAAAACTATCCAGCTTTGCATAAGTGGGAACAGACCTTTCCTTGACGCAGAGAAGGCTGCTCACGGAGGCAGAGTTGGATCCGCATTGCCCGCCTCACCCGAGGAAGCCATGCCTGTGGACACTCCCGTAGCTCCCAGGTGGAGCGGCTCTGTCCCCATCATTCCCCTGGGGAAGGGACTGCTCCACCTCACTGGGGAGGGGGCAGGCCTATTCGTCTTCCTGGCGTCCATTTCTATGGACTGCCAGGGTATGTACCTGCTTGGGACGTCTGTCCCTGTTGGTCAGAGATGCTGCTACAGACTTCAGCTGTGAGAACACGTTACAATTAATAGCATTTTAAAATGAGATGACCTTGAGATGCACACCCCATGGGTGAACATAGAATGAGCCAGAAGGGGCATCTAGTCTGACCCCTGGCTCCAGCTGGCTCTGTCCATGACACTTGGAATAGGGCCTCTGAGGTTGAGCTTGGAGAGGGTTAGGAAAGTATGGGAAGAGCCCGTCATGGTTGAGTTGCTGGAATGAAGACAGCCTGGCAGGGGAACCCAGGGTGGATTTGTGCATGGAAACACTGGGATCTGTTCTCGTGCCGGAAAGGCAGCCCAGCCCTTCAATGTGAAGACAGAGCAGTGCCCTCTCTCCCCATGCCACCGTTTCGCACATTATTCTAGGAGGTGGATCTCAAGATTCTGCTTAATTGAAAAAAAGCAGAGCTGCCCAGCCGATCTTACTCACGCTTCTCCTTCAGAGGCCCCGCATCCCGGAAGCAGGACTTGGTGGACGAGCTCCAGCGCAACCACGTTCCCTTCAGCATCCGGAAGCTGCATGTCGGAGACTTCCTCTGGGTAGCCCGGGAGAAGGCCGCTCCTGCCCCAGGTGTGTTTGGGCCCAAGCGGAGGCTGCCTTTCCGGAGCGGCGTTCCTGGAAGCTGTGCTCCGAGCGACCTTGAGGGCTTTAGATTCTGGCTAGAAAGCAGCTTTCCGTCCTTAATTTTCCTTCCTCCCGGCCTTGTGCCCACCCTTCCAGGAGAGCCACGACGATGCACAGCCCGGGAGCTGGTTCTGGACTACGTGGTGGAACGGAAAAGGATGCCCGACTTGTGCAGCAGCATTGTCGATGGCCGTTTCCGCGAGCAGAAGGTACCGAGGGGCCTGGAAACGGCCAGCGGGGGCCTCATTAGGCTCACAGGGCGGCAGGGTGCCAGCTGCACCAGGGCTCACCGCTTTATGTTTGGCTTGATCTCTTCTGTCAAGCCAGGCGGGACTTGAGGATGCCCGCAGCACACCTGCCTTGGCACCCCTGCCTTTGGGGACACCCAGAAACTGGCCCAGAAGCTCATACTAGTGACCTGAGCTGCAGTATCTCCCAGTCACTAACTTCCTGTCCCGTCCCCCCCGACCCATCATGCTCCCAGTTCCGCCTGCGGCAGTGTGGAATTTCCCACCCCATCTACCTGGTGGAGGATCTGAATTCTGCACAACACCTCAGTTTGCCAGAAAAGACTCTGCAGCAAGCGATCACCAACACCCAGGTATGGACCCCCCCAAGAGCGTCAGTATCCCTCCCCCATAGGCCTCAAAACCCAAGCAGGGCTACCCTGCGCTGGCTTTCTCCCAGCTCTCCTTTGTAGATGGTTCAGAGCATACAGTGACTGGGTTCAGACAACACGATAGCTAACCATGGTTGAGTCTATGCAGAACTGTGGGTCGTTGTTGAAACACGGGTTGTTGCTTTCTTTGAACCCAGCCGCGTTAATAAGCCAGGGTTTGTTCCCCGTGAAGAGAACCTGAGATCTCTCCCTTGGTTGTGAGCCGCGGGTTGTTCATCATGATCTGTTATGCCGACTGCATACGACGACTCGGGATTCAGCAACAAGCCACGATTCAGCAACAAGCCATGTTCAAGCCATCATCGTGTTGTCTGAACCCAGTCTCCCTGGCCCGGGTTCTCCCTCCTCTAATGCTTACCGGGGTCCCACTATTTGCGATTGCTCAGTGCCAGGCAGTAGGAGAGCCCGCCTCGAAGCAGAGCAGTGGGATAACCATTTTCTCCTCCAGGTGGTGGATGGCTTCTTTGTCAAACGCACCCGTGACATTCGGGAATCCGCTGCCTACCTGACGCTCATGACGCGGCACCTGGCCGCCCTGTATGGGGTGAGTCCGGGGAAGAGCAGGGCATCCTCCACCCAGCACGGTCCCGTCTCTTGGCTGCTCCGTTTCTGGGTGGTTTGAACATTTCGTATGCATTTTTTTACTTATCTGGGAAATTTATGATTTGTGAGAGTATTGTTCAAATTTTGTCTATGCTTCCGAATTTATTTTTATATACTGAAAAGCTCTTTTAATTATTTTTAACAATAAAAGGCTCTCCCCCCCCCTTCCCAATTATGCAGTCGATGGGGCAAGACATGGAACGCTTAAGCCCTTGTTTCCAATATTTCCTTCCTGCAAGATTTCCCTTCAGGCCACTGCCGCCTTAAGCTTGGCATCTTTCTTTTCAAATGATTATTGTTTCACGTCCGCAAATTTGCCTATTTCAGTGCTGAATTTTCAGAAAAGACATCATGGGCAGGGGAGAAGAATGCCAGAGGGGCGGGGTGGGGGGAAAGGTCGAGGTAAAGGAGAATTAAAAAAAGGAAAGGAAACTGATTTAAAAAGCAAAACCGTGTTGTTCACAGGGTGGAAGTGGGGAGAACTTTGCGTTTTAGAAAAGAACTGCAGGGTACACAGTTTAAGACTAAACTAAAATAGGGGTGAAGTAAGGAATCTTGTTCTGGCGTGCGCTACTAGATATCTGGAAAACAGTTCAGAGATAATGCTTGGATCCAGCCTTACCCTGCCTGGGATTTGATGGAGTGCAACTCCCATCAACCCCAGCCATGGAGGCTGCTCTGAGCCTGGCAGAGGAGAGGATTTAGTGTCATTTTCCCTCCTTTCAGGACAAACGGCTGGTAAGCTGTACCAAGGAGGAACTGGACCAGGAACGCCCCCTGCAGGCCGGCGACGGCTCCTGCCGGCTCCTGACCTTTCCCGAGTTTAATCAGGGGGCTGTGAAGAACAAGGTAGTTTGACGCGATGCGGGAAAAGCAGGAAAAGCCGGAGCTGGGTGGCGCAAGGCCTGCCTCACATGCCCCAGCGCTCCCGGGTTCCCTTCCTGGCTTCTCCAGGTCAGAAACGATCGGGGGGCGAGGAAGACGGTTGGCCACCTGAGATTCTTGAAGTCGGCAGGTAGCAATGACACCGGGCTAGAGAAACAGGGGTCCTGGCAGAGGCTCCGGGACCGGGGCAGCAGGACCCGAGGGAGCAGAGTCCCAAATTCTGCTCAGTCGGGACGGAAGCAGAGTCGCTTCAAGGGACAAGACGCAGGCGGGCACAGGGGGTGCGAGTCAGGCAAGCTGTGAGCGAGCCTGGGGTTGAGAAGCAGGCGAGCAAGCGCAGAGGGCGCACGTACCTGAGGCCGGATGACCAGGCAGGAGTAGCAAAGGTGCAGCGCGCGAGGCGAGGCGAGGCAGCAAAGCCGGCACCAGGTGCGGCGTGTGCCGCGAGCACAACCGCAGCCGGAGGAAGGCCTCGTGTGGCGGGCTTGTGGAGAGCTCCGGCGGGGGCCGGGCGGATCCTGCAAGCGCGCCACTGGCCGCACTGGGGCTGGCTGCCGACGGGGCCCCGGAGCAGCGCCGGCCCTGACCCCGCTCTCCCCCCCAGGCCCAGACGGTGAGCGAAGTCTTTGCCCGGCAGCTGCTGCAGATCAGCGGCATCAGCGGCGACAAGGCGGCCGCCATTCTGGAGAGATACAAGACCCCCGCCAGGTCAGGGGGCCGAGAGGGCAGCTGAGCGGGTGGAGGGAGGCGTTAAAAGATGGAACCGGTGGGCGAGGGGGCACCTGCCGCCCGATCGTCTGTCCCGTTCCAAAAGCGAGCTCTCGGAGGAGGAGAGTGGCTGGGCAGCTCTGGCCAGGGGAACGAATCCTGACGGGGGGCAGAAGGTGGCTTCGAACGTGATCAAAACGGGACGGAGGCCCTCCTCGTACAAAGGCAGCCCTCGCTTTCCGCTGAAACAGAACATACCTGGGCCCATCCAACCCAGCAATGGTGGGCAGCCGGGGCTTTCCGGGGATTCGGGCGGGGGCGGTTTCCTAACTCGCCTGGAGATCCTGGGGACCCAACCCGCACCTCCTCTGCACTGCCCTCTGCAGAGAGCCACCCGATTCCGCAGAGCTGTTTCCACCCCAAGCAGGCAATTCTGGGCTGGCACTCGGCCCCTTGCGCGCCGCGAGCGAGTTCCTGGGTGCTGGAAGGAGGCCGGTGGCCACTCGTGACCCTTCATGGCCTTTCTGTCCCTCCGCAGTCTGCTGGCCGCCTACGCCGCTTGCCAGACCCCGCGGGACCAGGAGCAGCTGCTGAGCAGCATCAAATGTGGGAAACTGCAGAGGTGAGGAGCGGAGCAGCGTGGCTGCCGACCGCGTCCTTCCTGGGCTTGGGACGGAACGGCTGCACGCGCAAACCGGAGCTCCAGCAGTGACGGAAGCCCACAGCCTGGGAGAAGCGTTTGCCCTGGGATCTCCTCAACGACAGCCAGGGCCGTGTGATGGCCAAGGGGTGGGACAGGGACTGGGAAGACCGGTGGCCCAGTCCCCGCTCGGCCAGGGAGCTTCCCGGTTGACTTTGGGCCTGTTGCTGGCTTCCAGCCTCACCTACCTCGCAGGGTTCTTAGGAGGATAAGGAGAAAGCGGGGGATGTACACCGTTCCCTCGGAGGAAACAAGAATATAAGGCTAAATCAGACAGACGCCCAGTCCAGCCTAGTTCCGCCTTTCGTCCACACAGTGGCTGCCCATGTGCAACTCACAAGCAGGATATGAGCACAACAGTACCCTCCTACCCATCTTCCCCAGCAAGGGGTGCCCACAAGCAAGCAGGATAGGACGGGAGCAAATCCACATAGACTGAAGCTGCGTCTACAATTGCCAAGCCGAAACTCGCCTCGTCTGGGGGCGTGTGAAAGCAAAGGCTGGGTCTCTCCTGCCCTCCTTCACCTTTCTCTCTCTCTCTCTCTCTCCCCCTCCCCTGAATCCCCGCTGCAGAAACCTGGGCCCGGCCCTGAGCAAGACGGTGGCCCAACTGTACTGCACACAGGGCCCCCTGCCTTGAATCGCCTCGCATCCCCGTCCTCCACCAGAACACGCCTTCCCCCGGCCAGATTTGGCGAAGACCTGCCACAACAACACCTGTATTGCACAGACAACGGCTGACACACACCCCTGTAAAATGGGATGCCCGGGAGTCACACGCGTGACCCCATCACGGAAATTTACCGGCCCGAAAAAGCACTTCTTTCCTGCCGGCGTAGATCACGTGGAATCATGATTCTGATTTCGCATCTCGAAGAGCGCGTAGGGACAGTTCCTGCTGGTGGTGCTTAGACTTGGGCAGGGCCTGTTCCATCCCTTGGTTTTCTTCGTTTAATCTCTTTTTTACTGTTTTTGGTAACCTAATAAAATTTTCTGCAACTTAAAGAAGTGAATTCTGTCATTTAACCCTGCACTGGGTGAAGAAGTGTTCCATTTCACCTGTCGTAAATCTTTCTCCCACACTCAGTCGGTTTCACGAGATGATCTCTCTGAGTTCTGGTATCTGGAGAGAAGGAGGAAGGAAAATTTTCTCCTACCCTGGCCCAGAGAGATGCTACAAAACGGCCACAGCATAGTTTGATGATTCACAGACATTAAGGAACACCACCCCCTCTCCCCACCCCTGCTTAATTAGAAGGGGCTCTCTAAAAATAGGCAGTCCAGAAATGGACAGATTGAGACTCTAAACCTTGGAAAGAAGAAATAATATTTGCTTTAAATATACAAATATCACACATTCTTCTGGTCATCACGCCAAAAGAAAACATTGCCGACGGCTTCCTTTTCCTCAGGAATTCCTACTATTTTTCCATTGCACGGCATCGAATGAGGCGTAATTCTGAGAGTTACGATGACCGGGCTTAAGGTTGGATGGCGTCCTGAACATGGTGCAATCCAGCCCGTGTCCAGCACAGGCCTTTGCGTCTGCGGTGGCGCTGAGGGCCAGTCGGCTGCTGCCTCTATCGGCCCATCCGGAGAAAACGCCTCTCACACCGACCCGCTTGGTCCCTCCTGTCCACCACTGGGAAAACAGGCTGCATACCTTCCATTACACCAAGCACTATGCATTGTTAGATTGATAGTGCAAGCACTGCTCATTCCTGGCTTCTCTGCTGTCTGTTCCCGGACCATTCCTAATTTTATATGCCTCCAATAAATACCTGGATATGCAGCTCTTTGGGGTCTCTGACCCTGGAAGCTCCATCATGACTTAACGGCCCTGATGGGCCATTATTCTTCCATGCATCTGTTTAAACCTATTTCAAAAACATCTAAGTTGGGAGAGCGGTGCCAGGGCTTGCGGGGGCCTAGCAGCAACATTAGCAGGTGCTGACATCAGTTCAGACTTCCTGGTTCCTTCTTACAAAGAAACACAGAAACAGAGTGAGTTGGAAGGGGTCCCCCGGCCATCTAGTCTGACCGCCTGCACCACCTGGCTCCGCTCACGACAAGCCCACCATGTTCACGTCCAGCCTGTCCTTGAACACCCGCACCGACGGGTCCTCAACCTCCTCTCGTGGAAGCCCATTCCACACCCTCGGGGTCCTGACTGTCAGGAAGTGCTTCCTGGCCTCCAAATGGAACCTTGGCTCCCCGAGCTTGGCTCTGTTGGAGCGCGTCCTGCCTTCCTCTGCAGGGGAGAACAGGTCTCTGCCCACCTCCGCGTGACACCCCCTCACATACCTGCATGTTGCCAACAGATCCCCTCTGAGTCTCCTCTTCTCCAGGCTGCAGAGACCCAGTTCCCTCAGTCTCGCCTCATACGGCATCCCCTGCAGACCGGCCACCAACCTTGTGGCCCTTCGCTGCACTGACTCCAACCTGGCTACATCCTTCCTGTAATGAGGAGCCCAGAACTGAGCACAGCACTCCAGTTGCGGGCGGACCAGAGTCGTACAGAGTGGCAGTAACTTCTCTCTCGATCGAGAAGCCATGCTTCTGGCTATGCATCCGAGGGTGGCATTTGCTCCCTTGAAAGCCGCGTCACACGCCTGGCTCATGTCTAGCCTGCAGTCGACCAGCACCCGGAGGTCCTTTCCACTAGTCTTCACAAGTGTGGAATAAATACGCTCAGCACCAAGGGAGGCCAACCGAGCGGACGGTGAGACGTTTGGAAAGCAAGTCCTATCGAGAACCCTTGGAAGAACCGGCTGGGCTTAACCTGGGGAAGACAGAACCATAAGAAGGCATGATTACAGTCCTCAAATATCTCAAGGGTTGGGGGGCTCACTCCAAATGGGGGCAGTAGAGCCACGGCAGGGAGGCCAATCTGAGCACCAGTAAGAGAAATGCCCCTTTGCTAGAGACATCTACAACTCTCCACACTGCACGTAGTTTTAAAAACTTTATTCTAAACTAAAAAGTCCAAACTGTTTTAGGCTGTCCTTGTAAGGAAGGAAGTTGGACTGCTTAAGGTTGGTAAGTCGGTTGGGGTTGGGTTTTTGTTTGCTTGTTTTGAGATAGGGACTCAATCCAACAATGGCAAGTAAAAATGCTTTCTAACTGCTAGAGAAAACCCAGGCAGGTTCTGGTCAGATAAATTCCCCTCGCTTCTCTTGCTCCCCCACTCTGGCCTGGCGGAAAAGGACCAGAACAGAACCCGAATGTGGTCTGGAGGTTTGGGGGCATCGGGGCAATATAGGAACACCACAAACGGTCTCTTTGAATTGTTTCCTTTAAAAAAACTGTTTTACTCATTTTTGTTGGTCTTTTCCTCTGTTTTAACCAGAACGACAGAACCGGAGCATCGCCACAAAGTCCAACGTGCCATCCATTCTCTGAGATGCAGGGTGACTTCTCTCCTTCCTCGGGAGCAGGAGACAGGGTAGCATCGCTGGGCAGCGCAATGGCTCAAAGGGCTGTGCTGGAGGGGGCTGGCTGTCATTCCACGACCATGGTACACAGCTGCAAGCCCCCGCAGCTTCCAGAGGCTCTCTCAAGTCCTGGTGAGTGGTGCTCCTGGTTCGTGGGCGGACAGGAGAGATGCAAAGCTTCCTGCCCTGGCATTTGGTGTTGTGACGTCACATCCTGTTTCCCTTCCTGCAGATGTTTTCTGCCGTGGAGGGAGAGAGAGAGAGTGTAGCCCAGGCACGGCGTGCGCCCACATCCTCTGGGGCGGCTTTTGGACTCATGGGTTGCCAAGGATGTATGTTGTATTTTTTATTTATCCAAACCATTTTTAGACCAACCCTTACCATAGTCTCGGGATGGTTTAACAATAAGACAAAATAGAATAAAACACAGCATCCTAGTCAGATTCTTAACCAGTCAGCAATAAAACCCGTATTGAAACATGGGGAAGATAAAAAGGTTTTGACCTGGTGTTGAAAAGCATCAAGTGACGGCGTCAGGTGAACCTCTCTGGGGAGCCAATTCTGCAATCGGGGCACCGCCACAGAGAAGGCCCTTCTCCGGGTAGTCACCCTCCTAATTTCCTTCAAGGAGGGCTCCCAGAGGAGGGCCTCTGCCCCAGTTCTTAAGAGGTGGGCAGGCACATATGGAAGGAAACGCTCTTCACGTACCCAGGCCCTCGGCCTTTTAGGGCTTTATAGGACTTCAATAATAAACGAATGAATAAAATTTGAGGTCCCCCACCACTTTCTTGAAATTCTGGGGAACTATTAATGATGGAGAGTGCTTTTAAGAACAAGGAGTGCGTGCTTTACTGAGGGAGAGGGCCCGGTTGAGGGCACCTTGCCCTGGCACCCTCCAAACCTGGAACCAGCAAGGGCTGAGTCTCTGACAAGGATGTTTCTAACTGAGCAGTCAGTGCCGCCTCTGTGCAGCACCATGAGGCCGGACCTGGCTCCTTCCGCGTGACGCAAGGCCCGCTCTCTATGAGGGGAGCCACGGCCCGTGCCCACCTTGCCGGGGACTGATGGCCTTGGGCTAAGGTGCGGTCCACTTACCTGTCCCCTCCTCGGCCAGGTCAGGGCAAGCCGCAGTGCAGCTAGAATGAATGGGCGCCCACAAAGACGGTGAGACGCAGGACGGAGCTGGAACGGTAATTCATCAGGGTGTTCACAGTGACCATCTCTAAATCCAGAACGAATTCGCGGGGGCCTGTCACCGGCCGGGCCAAGACCAGCATGGCGCTGATGTTGTTGATTTGCTGCGAGGAAGAGGAGGGCAACGGTGACCCCGGAGAGTGAGCAGAAAGAGAACAACACCCGTGACCTTCCCTAGCAAAATTTTTCTCCAAAATTTTTCTGTGCTGAATTCCAACCGCCTGCTGCAAACAAGTTCAACGCATCTTGTGAGCACCAGATTAAACGATGCTCGAGGACAAGGTCTTTGTAGTGGCTCCAACAGGTTTTCACAAACTTGCCCCCCCCCCATTTTAAAAAAATATATGTTCATAGATGTGTATATATCCATAGCAATAGGTCCGCCTGAGATGGAAACCACTTTCTAGGAATTATACGTTGATGTCAACAAAAGTAGACCAAATATTCCTTGGAAGTGTTCATTGGAAATATACATTTCAAGCATCCGTTTGAAGTGGGCATCTCCAGGACACCTGTGCAAACACTGAAGATGTTGGAAGGTTCTCCGTTCAAGGCATTATAGGAAGTGACTGTTTCTCCTCCCGATTTTGTAACGTCAGTCTTTGAGTGGTCAGAATAGCACAAAGAATCATTTATGCGGATGCTTTGCTCATTTCCGTCAAGCAGATGTTTACGTGAAAAGAGCCCGCACATCTGTGAATGCTGACGATTATTCCAGTACAAAACCTATCTCTATAAGAACCTCCACCTCAAAAGAAGAGCCTCGTAGACACTGCCAAAACTTTGATCTAAGAGAAGCATGAGCTGCATTGCCTCACCAGCAATCAGCCAAATTAGACAGTCCCTTCTTTAAAAGATGCTACACTGTTTGGGAGGCATGAAAGAAGTGCTTTTCCTGAATACGGCAGTGCCTAAGATGCAAGAGGTCATCTACTGATTTCGTATTATGATTCAACCCCACCTAGTCCCAGTGATGGGAAGCTTATGCACCTAAGCTTACATGGTTTGTAAATAGTTGACCAACTTTCTGCTGCCTGGAAAGACTGCAGACATGGGCACCGGGCCTCTCTGATTGGCTGTTGCTAGGAGACAGACTCACCCGGATGTAGAATTCTCCTTGCTCGTTGCCCGAGCGGATCTGGAAGGTGTTGTAGGCCCCAGGATAGATGCTGGTGGCCTGGATTTGGAAGATGTCAGACGGCACCGTCCGGTCAGCCGTGATGCTCATGTATCGGTGGATGATGGATGATGGTTTATCTCGGCAGAGTGGGTTTGTGGCTGGACAGAGGCAGCGGCTGTGGAATGAATAAGCTTGGTTGAGGGTGATATGTTTTCACAGCTGTTGTGAGGACTTAGCAACACTATTTTAATGCCACACTTGCGGTCAGTGGGGTGTGCAAGGAGCTGGCTTTGCCCCTCTTTCTCAGAAGGAAAGCAAAAATGGTCAGTGCCCTGCTGGTCAGTCTATCAGCCAGAGATCCGAGGGCTACTAGAAGTCCGCCCCAGTGAGGGAAAGGCCAGCATAGCCCCCTGTATTGGCCAGAGAAAGAAGAGATGCAGGGATCTTGTTTGGCCCTTCTCTGTAAGAACAAACACCCAGAAGATCTTTGAAACAAAGAAAGCTGGTGCCTGCATTTTTCCTCCACCCTCCCAATCCCTTTTCCTTTTGTGCCGTGTCTTTCAGAATACAAACCTGAGGCAGGGAGGGGCTGGCTCATCACGATTAATCTTTGCAAGCAGCTATGGGAGCCTTTTTTTGACTGAAGTGCAGGGTGGGCAGGGGGCAGACGACAATGCACACAAATAAGTAGCTAAATAAAATATCTAATTCTCATTCTGACCCCGCGAAGGTGGTCTTTATGACTGAAGCATGTGCAGTGGCTAGGAAATGCGACTGTTGTGATCATGAAAAGGGAAAAGCCCCCCAGCCACAGCTAGTCTGATCACTGGTTGGAAGAGCCCGCTGGGAAAAGGGGTGTCCTCTTTTAGGGTTCTTTATTTCTAACCCCAACCGGGCCAAGTGGCTAAGTCCAACCGCCGTTTTAATTTCCCACAGTGCCTTGGAGCAAAGCTACACTGATGTGGGGAGCAGGGCCACCTGGAGGGAAGTTAAATTGTAACTCGATTCGGATGGAAGTCCAGCAGTGATTGGCGTGGGCATGGGAACTGGATGACGGTGCCAACCCTGTCCTTACACACAGGACCCAATGCCAACAACCCAGGCTTCGTATTTGTGCCATGCATCTGTTGCCCAAAGGTTGACTGCTCCTGAATATGGAGGCTTTGCTTAACTATTCCATTGGAAATAATAGAAAATGCTGTCCTGCCCCTGCCGCATCTCGCCTAAGCCATTTAAGCCTTTATAAAGGAATACATTAAGCAGACTAATGCCCATCACAGATCAGTGGGTGACAGAAATCCTGCAAGTTAGGAATTTTAGGAAAATCACTGCATCACTCATTCTCTTCCATCAGCCCCTGGCCCCGCCGGCACTTACTTTTCTGCGATTTGCATGTATGGTTCCTGGCAACGGTTCTTCTCCACGCAGCGATATCCTCCGTAGTAGTTGACGCAGTTCTGGGATTCGGTGCATTGGTGGGTTCCCGTCTCACATTCGTTCACGTCTGGAATCGCAGGCGGGGGTTGGAGCGGGAGAGGGAGAGAAAGCGCCGCTTGGTCAGCACCAGCGAACGCACAAGGGGAAATCAGGAAAGCAAGGCGCCCGTTCACACTTCCCAGGGGAGTGATAGGAAGGAGTTCCTATACGGCTTGGCAGAGTCAAGCCCAGGCAGGGAAGGAGAGGGTCTTCAGGACGATGGACAACTCCATGCGGGCCCGAGGTTGCCCGAGAAGAGCCGTTGTCTCAGCTACGCAAAGAGGCCTCTTGGGACGTTATGAGGGCTGCCTTTTTTAAAAACTGCGATCGCTCGCGGCCTCCATAGCCTGGGAGAATCATCCATGAACAAACCCACTGTCTGTTAATTAAACCATGGTTTGTCATCCCATGTGAACCAAGCTTGTTCATCTGAGAACATTAAAAAATTTTTGAAGTCTGAGGCTTGGAATAGAAATGAACAGTTTCTGCTCATGTGCCAAATGCACTGCCCTTGCTTGTGCAGATTGTGGGGAGCCGTACCTCCCGGTAGAACACCTGCTTTGTATCCTTGTCCAATCCTCTACATTCCCAGGTAAGGCTGGTAAAATTCCTGCCTGAAACCTTAGAAAGCCGCATCTGCCAGTTCATGTCAGTGATACCATCCTAGATGGACCAAAGGCTTGGACTCAGTTTCCTATATTCCTATCAGTCCTTTATTCAGAACCATGAGGACTAAAACCTTTCTCTTTAGGTGAAGGACAGTAGCTCACTGATAAGAAGTCTGATCTGGGCCTGCAGTCAGCTCCCCACAGCTCCCTGCTCTTACTGATTTATGATTTATGTATTTAAGGCTTTTATATCCTGCCCTTCACAATGTCGCAGGGACACTGCCTGATTCTCCAGCTGCCAGTCCTCCCAGAAGGGGGTGCCCTCCAAGCCCATGTCTGAGGCCTGGAAGGTCCTGGGATGTCACATAATGCATCCTCCAGCCCAGAGTCCTCCTCTGAGCCAGAGAGGAGATCCAGGCCGGAGACCGTGACATACCCCAAACAGCAGCCTTTGCATCGCACGGTTACCTTTGCAGAGGCGGGTGCTCAGTTGCTGGTATCCCTGGGGGCAGACACAAGAGAAATGTCCCGGCTCGTTCACACACTGGAACTGACACAAGTAGGTCGAGTAGCTACACTCATCCACATCTAGGAAAGATGGAGGCGATTCCAGTTGGGGCCAAACTAACTTGACTTGCGCGTTATCGATTCCATCAAACAGTAAATCCAACCTTTTCAGTTTGGGGTTTTTGGCAAGGACCAAGAAAACACTGGCCAGGATCTGGGAAATCCCAGAGAATCCTGGAGAAATAGCAGAGCTATGTCTACGAGGAGTCTTCAAAAAGTGTCTGGGATTTTATATTTTATAAATATATTTTACATATTTTTTGCCGACGACATTCAAAAGTCGGTACGACGCTGGGAAACACGCATCGCAAGGGATTTGTTTTGGAAATTCTTAATAAAGAGGGTTTCTGAAAGTGTGGCATTTTCTTTTGAAGAACCCTCATATCAACCCAAGGGGGATTTAAGCAGCTTTACTTGGAAACGGGTCTTGCTGGAATTCAGCAGGGCTTAGCTAGAAGAGGTAGGCACAGGATTGCAAGGAAGGGGCTAATTGGAAACTGCTCGGCTGACAGCGGCAACGGAGCCATGAGACTGGGGCACGCCGGGGGGGCCGCGACACAGAAGCGTGCGGATCTCCCCCCCTGCTGTTATCTTCTTCAAGTTCAGGATACGGCACAAGGACCAAAACTGCCTGAGCACACCTCTGGTGGGCGGAGCTTGGAGGGTGGGAGGGGCAGAGGGAGGAGCTATCCCAAGGCCAGACACACAGCGGCACGGAGACTGACCTACCTTTGCAGGTGAAGCCGTCGTGGTCCAACTCATAGCCCTGGTTGCAGCGGCAAATGAACGTGCCGTATGTGTTGAAGCAGCGCTGCTGGCAAGGGACCCCCATCTCGCACTCGTTCACATCTGGGGGAGGGTGCAAAACACGCGGCTTACACAGGGCATCGGGGGAGATGAGGTCCTATTTTCCCCTCCCAGCTTATCCAAAGATGATCCTCCGGACACCTATAGAAAAGGGCTCTTCCTCCTTCACGGTTGCCCCACGAAAGCCGGCTGCTCCGAGATGCCTTGGGCTCTAATCCTCATTTCCCGACTGGAACCAAGACCAGGGCTTAAGGACGTCCATGTATTACCGGGGTGCGCAACCTCCGTGCCGTGGGCCAAAATGGGCCCACGGAGATCGTGCAGCTGGCCTGCAGGGCTCGATCCCCCGGAAGGAGGTTTGGACAATGAGAAGAAGAAGGAAACTATAAACACAATCTGATGAACATCTGGAATCTGCTCCCCAGAGGGGGTCTGCCTGGGGACAACATCATATTCTTTCCAGCATCAGGTAAAGATCTTTTCATTCAATCATTATTTTAACAATTAATGCTCTTAGATGTTTTAGGATTTTATTTGACTTTATTTCTATTTCCCCCCCCCCTTTCACAGTCGCATTTTCTATAGTGATGTGTTTTATATTGTTTTAACAATTAATGTTTTACATAGTAGCTTTACATTTATTGTATTTTTTATATCTTGCAAGCCGTCCTGAGCGCTTGAAGCGACAGGACGGGGTGCAAATGTATGTAATAAATAATAAATAACAAACAAACATTTTCAGGCAAAAAGGCCTCTAATTTCCAGCACACCAACCGCCCCTCTCGGCTCTAAACATGCGGCGGGTGGAACCTGAAAGGGGCCGGAGGGATTCCCCTGCAAGCAAAGGCTGCAGCACCTGGGAGTGCCGAGGGCCAGAATTTCGAGCTTAGAAAGGAGGTGACGGGAGGCGTGAGGGAGGTGTGGAGAAAGGGGAGAGGAGAGACACAGGTCGCCGGCCCCCCGGCCCACCCCCTCGCCGTGCCACGCCGGCCGCCTGGCTTACCCACGCACGAGCGGTTGTTGCTGGCCAGCTGGAAGCCGGGTTCGCACTGGCAGGAGAAGGAGCCGGGGGAGTTGACGCAACGGTGCTGGCAGTAGCGATAGCGGCACTCATCTATGTCTGCAGCGGGGAAAGGACAGAGCTGATTGTCGCCTGCCTCCCCTCCGTGTCCCTGAGCATGCACAAAGCGCCTTTCCTCGCTCACAGAGAAACCGGCAGCACGGACCCTTCCCGTCAGGGAACGGACTGATTCAGATGAAGCCGGCCGGAGTGTGTTTTCGCAGGGGGAGGTAGAAAGCCAACCCACCCCTCAAATCAACAGGCCGGAGTGTGCGAATATAAGTCAAAGGTTTGCGGGGACAAAAATGCCAACCTCTTTCACCCAGAAACTCATCCTGGTGATTTTGAAGCTCCAGGAGAGGAATTTCTCGAAGCTAGGAGAGTGCCAGGCTGTTCGCATTTGGAAGGAACCGTGCGGGGTGAAGGAGCGGAGGAACGAGCTGACGTACGTCAGCAACAAAGCTGGCTATCTGGAAAAGGGGTGCCGGCTTGTTCCTCGGCCCTGGAGCGTTTCTGGCAGCTGCCTGCCAGCAATGGCCCAGTCTGAGCTTCTCCCGAGTGGGGCTTGGACCCTGGGGAAAGCTCCTCGTCCGCAGCGCCCCTTCCAAGAGCTCCCCGCTCTGTCCAGCTCACTCACCCACACATTCTGTGCCAATTTTCCGATAGCCGTCCGGGCACTGACAGTGAAAACCGCCGGGCGTGTTGATGCACTGCTGGCTCGGCTGGCAGTCGTGCAAATCGTATTCACACTCGTCGGTGTCTGTGCGGAAGAAAAAACGCAGCATCACAGGAATGTCGGAGGCAGTCTTACAATCGATCCTAGGACTCAGCTACGCCTGGATTCTCAATACAGGCCGGCAGCGCGAATCTCCAAGACCGCTTCCAGAGGCTGACCTTGCACCCTTCCCTGGTAAAGCCTCTTCTCTTCGAGTGGGGGTCCTTCACCCAAAACAAGTTTCCAGTCCTCATGGTTCTGAATGAAGGGCTAAGTTAGATAGGAAAGTTCTCCTGGAAAGTTTCAGAGCAATTTTCCCTTAGGTACATCCTTAGAAAAACTCCAAGCCCTGATTTGCTTCGCCTCTTGCTAAATATGTTCAGGGACTCCCATGCTGGGTCCTTTAGAGAAGAGAGACTCGCACACTAAATTTACCCTCCGAATGTCCTTCCTGGGACCGCGCAGCCCGAAGTGGATGCGCATGCAGAGAGACCAGCGGCCTCCTCACGCGGCTCCGATATCCTGCATCCTTGAAGTCCCTGCAAGTTCAGGGGATTCCCTCTGACACCCCAGTCCCAAGAATGACCCTTCGGAGGCAGGGATCCGCCCCCTTGCCCTCGACTCACCCACGCAGGGTCCGTGTCCGTCCGGCTCGTAGCCCTGGGGGCAGGTGCTCTGGCGGGGGACGGGGTGCGGGTGCCTTGGCCGGGGTGGGCTGGGCGGAGGGGGCCTTTCCGAGCTCACGTCGTTGATCACGGAGGCCGAGCGCGGCAGGCACAGGTAGCCGCCGAAATGGTTGATGCACTTCATCTCCCCCTTGCACGCCTGTGGGATGGTCTCGCACTCGTTCACGTCTGGTGAGAGAGGAGGAGGAGGAGGGGGGGATCAGGCTGTAGGGGGACAGGTGCCCGGCGGGGCCCCGTGGCCCTCCAGAATAGAGGACTGATAATTCGCGCGTGCTGATGGGTCCAGAGGTGAATTTAGGACCCATCCTCGTCACAGACATCGCAATGCATGTCCGGGACCCAGGAAGAAGAGCGGGGCGCCCTGGGTTGCTCCAGGGCTTCCCAGAGTGCGGGGCTAGGGACCCGACTTCGGCATCCCTGCTGCTTCCGAATTTGGACCCAGGAACCCCTTGTTTCCGTTTTGGAGAACGTGCGTCTCTGAGCTCCGTGGGAAGACGGTTCCCAGGTGCCAGACCCACGCGCCCCGCCGCTTTCCATGCAGCGCTCCAGGTGGTGTGGCTGCTCTTCGAAGCGGGGTGCGCCCTGGGTGTGCCGGGGGGCCACGTGGCGCTTGGCTCCTTGCCTGGGGAAACACTGCCTTCCCCCACGCAGAAACACCGAGGCAGAGGGACAACGGCGCGCGTCCGGACGAGCCTTTCCCACGCTCCCCCGCCGTCCACACGGGCCCGTACCTTTGCAGTGTTGGCTCTCCGGATCCCAGTCGTAGCCATCTGTGCATTTCTAGGACGAGGGAGAAAACGGGGAGGCGTCGACACGGATGCGCTGCTTCTCCAGCCGGGGAGCGGGGTCCCCTTCACCACTGGGAGCTTGGGTCATTTGCGCTCACTTTCCGGCCCTCCGTTCAAGACACAAGAACACACTCGCCTTCTGTCTTGTGAGGGGGCCCTCTGCACACGCTCAGAGGCACTCCTTGCTTTTACCTCACGTGTTCTGAAGCAGCATTCCTCCGAGCTGGTGGCGTCCAGGAGTGCGGGACTACATCACCCCCACAAAGCTGGCGGGGGATGTTGGGGCCTGCAGTCCAGCAGCACTGGGGACCAACAGTGGTGTTGGCCTGGAAAACTGGGAGATCTGGCTCCTAGTCCCCACTCAGCAATAAAATTCCCTGAGTGTCATTGGGCCAGCCTCTCACTCTTGGCCCTCCCTACCTCACAGGGTTGTTGTTAAGATGGCATTATATGAGCCATCTTGGGTCTTTACCAGAGGAAAAAGGCAGGGCAGAAGTACAATGGACTATTTAATAATAATAGAACAACAACCCTGCAAGGTAGGAATGGCTGAACATCAGCAGCTGGCCTGGGGGATGCACTCTGCAGCGCGATCCATCCCCCCCCCCCCCCCCCGGCACGTGCTCCGAATGGCGGATCTTCTCGCTCTTTACCGTGATCGCGTCGGGGTCCTCCAGTTCTTGTAAAATTGCAGCTCTCAGAAGCGTTGCCAGGAGGAGGCATGAAACGGGCTTCATTGTTCGACCTGCAAAGAAGAAGGCCGGTGGGAAAAGAAGGACGTTCATCGCATGCAGCACTCGGTTGCCTTCTCAGGCCCAACGAACGCAAGATCCCGAGGCCCCCAAGCAGAGCGACTGTAGGCTCACCGATGCACAAGCCCTGCAACACCCAGAGGCAGCTCCCCGTTGTATTAACATCATTTAATTGCATTTTATCCCCTCATTTCTGCCTCTCGCAAGGAAACCTTGCTGACCTTTCTCCTCTCCATTTCACCTTCCCAACAACAGTCCTGCGTGGTAGGCTAGGCTGAGACGCAGCAACCAGCCCAAAGGTGCTCAGTGAATTTCGTGGCCAAACAGGGACTCAGGCCTCCCAAATCCCCGCCCAAGCCTCTTCGCAACTGTTTTACTAGAAAAGTTTGTGGAGGATCAGGCAAGGAATGGCTGCTAGTCCTTATGACCATAGGTGACCTCCGGTCTCAGAGGTGGGGTGCATCTGTGTGTTTGTTGTAACATGTCAGGAATTTAGAAGTCATTGCAAAGAAATGAAATATCAACCACAGGATTGGCACAGCCCGGAGAGAGAAGAGAAACAATACTTGTCTGGACGCACCGTTTGTTAAAATAAAAGCTCCTGGGCATTTAATTACAGGAATCTACCTCCTTCAGGAGATATGTCTGTGTGCTTCTTCAAAGGAGAAGTTGTATCCAGCCAGGGCTAAATATAAGCCCTTGCTTAGAGAAATATCTATATATAAAACCCGGCCAGCCACAAAGTTTATCCTAGCATCCTCCTTAACCCCATCATCAAATATTTCCCAGGTTCCGGGCTGTCATCAGCTAGAAGCAGTTGTCAAGGCAACAAGCAGCCAATCAGGGTTCCTGGATGGGTACCACCTTGGTAAAGAAAAAAAACCTAGTCACAGGTGTGGAGGTACCTGGAAAGGGTCTTCTTGAATGCCCTTAGAGGTGCCAAGAGGATGACGAAGTTTCTGCCCTAGTTCACAGCTGATGACAAACCATGGCTTAATTAACCCACAGGTTATTGCTCTATGCAGAGTTAACCCCTAAGTCAGCTGCCAGACAACCAACCATCTGTGGTTGCCGACTGGGAAAATGCCAGCTTTTGCAAGAAGGTCTGAGGACGCCTGAAAGGTTCATTGATTTCTGTGGCAGAAACTTAATCAGAAATAAGGGGGTGTTACACACCAGGACATAGGCCCACGGGTCTAAGGGGTGTGGGGATAAAACTCCAGTGTGAAGTTGTGAATTTTTATCAGCCCTAAAGTCTCTCTCTATGTACAGGATGTGTGTCTTTAAAGGATCCTGCATTTGTAAAAAGAGGTATGTGGGCAGGGAAAGGAAAGGCATTCAATTCAGAAAATCAAAAGATTCAAAGTCGTGATGGATGCAGCTCAGGGTGGCCCTAAAGGTGGGGGGGGTGAGTTGGACAGGTTCCAAGGGAGGAAGCGATCTGTGGCTACCAGCCTTGCTGGCCATGGCCACCTCGTTCCCCAGAGGCGGCGTGCCTGCGTCCACCAGTCCCTGAGGAGCTGCGTACACGGCGGACTTGCATGCATCCTGCTGGAGGCAGAGCACCCGACTGGATGGAGCTCAGGTCTTCCGATGCCCTTGAAGAGGGTGGTCGCCACCGAACACTGCCTCGGGCCTGGCATCGGAGCAATGCTACCCTCGGTAGCCTGGCGGGGTCTGCACACAACACTCACCCATGGCTTATTTAAATGATGGTTTGTTGCCCTGGCCATGATGCCCTGTCAGATCCACGAAAACCATGGTTTACCCAGTTCCTGGGGCTGTTTGCTTCCCTTTGCTTTGACCAGTTCCGTCCCTGTATCCCAAATACTTTTGAGCCTTGTAGACTGGCATAAACAAAGGCAAGAGGAGGTTTTTTTTAAACTGCGATCGCTCACGGCCTCCATAGCCTGGGAGAATCATCCATGAACAAACCCAGTGCTTGTTCATTAAACCATGGTTTGTCATCACACGTGAACCAAGCTTGTTCATCTGAGAACGTTAAAATATATTTTTGAAGTCTGAGGTCTGGAATAGAAAGACGCAGCTTCTGCTCATGTGCCAAGTGCGCTGCCCTTGCTTGTGCGGATTGGGAGGAGCCGTTGTTCCAGGTGGAACACCTGCTTTCTGTCCTTGTTCTGTCCTCTACATTCCCAGAGGAAAGTTCCTGCCTGAAACCCCAGAAAGCCGCATCTTCCAGTTCATATCAACATTACCAGCCTAGATGGACCAAAGGCTTGGACTCAGTTTCCTATATTCCTATTTAAACCAGTTTTTATTCAGAACCATGAGGACTAGAACCTTTCTTTTTAGGTGAAGGACAGTAGCTCACCGATAAGATGCTTGCCTGCGGAAGGTTCCACGTTCAGTCCCTGGCGTCTGAAACCACTGCTGCCATTCAGTGTCAGGAATATTGACTAAATGCACCAAAGGCCTGGCTGTTGTGTTCCTTTAAGCCTGCAGCATCTGAGCCAAACCTGTCCCTTTATTCCCAGATCTCACATTCGGGATTGTGGGACTAGATCCCAGACCAAGAGTGCGGCTGCCCAGTCACGCTGCCCCTCGGCCTGGGCAATTTCATTACAGAGATTAACTGCTTACCCCTTCGATGGTCACGTCCATTGCAAATGCGATAAAGAATAAATAGCATACATTCGAAGAGGGAAAATGCAGGGCAGATAATGCACCTAACACAGATTTGAGCGGAAGTGCATCGAAAGGCAGCCACCCCATCCATCACAGGGGAGAGGGAGAGCAAGGTGGCATGACCTCGGCAGCCCCCCGCACTCTGGTGCCTTCCAGACGTTGCGGACCTCAATTCCCATCAGCTCCACGCAGCTCTGCCCGGGAACGCTGACCAGGATTGCTTGGCGAAGGCTGGCTCAGCACCAGGAACCCTCTGCTGCCCTTCTGAAGGGTCACAACCTTGTGGAGACATCACAACACCCCGTGCCTCGCGGCGCCTTGCCGGATCCCGAGGAAGTCTGCTCCCCCTCTGCTCAAAGCCAGGACGGAGGACGGCAGAGGAGGACGGAGGAGTCCTTCGCGGAGGCCGGGATGGAGGCTCTGGGGGCAACGCAGCGGAGCAAGACGGGCCCAGATGGCGCCGCTGGGAAGGCAGGACGCGGGCGTCCCAGGAGCAGAGACCCAGATGCCCACCTGCGAAGTTCTTAACTTCTCAAGCAGAAGCTGCCCGCTGTACGTTCCTGGCGCCATCCCCCCGGAGAAATCCTGCGATCTCACCGGGAGAGGCACGGATGCCCTCGGAGGTGTCCGCTCGCTCTCCGCCCGACAGAGCGGGGCCAAGGCATCCCCTCCTGCCACACCGACTCTGCGGATCTTCCCTGGCCCTCACTCACCGTGGCTCAGGCCTGGCCTGCTCCTCCCGCCTCCGGTGCCCCCTCCCAAAGCAAATACGAAGCCACCATCTCTCACCACACTGACAGCCGCTGGTCCGCGCCGGGACCCCCGCTTTGCTCCTCCGGTGGTGCACGGAAAACGCCCCCCCGATCGCGGCTGGGTGCAAGGCGAGCCGCTTGCTCCCTGGGAGAGTGTGTTGGCTCTCCCCCTCCAGCCCCCCCACACCGAATTCCTGGCCCCCCGCCAAGCAGCGGGGTTGCCAAAGGATTCCACCCAACATCTGGTTCCACTTAGCTTTCAGCAAACACCCTTTCCTGGCCAGCTGTTCCCAGCCATCACTGCACTGACGCGATTCCCAAGGCAGGGGGAACGTCGGGCGCGCATACCTCCACGCAGGGCAGGAACGTGCCTGGCTCCCGCCCGTTCGCTCGCCTTGTGCACGCCTGCATTATTTCTGCGCAAGGGGGTCCCCAGGTGAGGGAACATTTCCCCCCACGAGCAGAGACATCGGAGTGGGGACCCAGCAGATCCGGCGAATCTCCGCTTCATTTGCAAAAGCAAGTTTCTAGCCCTTCAGGCGCAAGGTGGGTTCCCGAGCTTGTAACATAGCACATTCGTTACTCACAAGTCAGTGGAAGGAGAGAAACCATGCCAAAAAACGACCACGTACACATCACAGCAGCAAACATGGTTTCCAACTTGTCTCTCTCTCTCTCTCTATATATATATATATACACATAGAGAGAGAGAGAGAGAGACAAGTTGGAAACCATGTTTGTTATAAACTATCATATGCAGCTTTTATACAACTCTTTGTCCTCTGGTCTCCTTTCCTCAGCAATTCAGTTCTTCATTTGGGAAATGTCTAAGCGGCCACCTTACCCCAGCCATGGTTAGACACAAAACCAGGTTCACACAGAGTGACAAGCCAGAATATGAGCTGAGTGTGAACTATGGGCTATCGTGAGCCAAGTCACACTAACAACTCTGGTTTGTTAACAATTTAGAGTTCATGACCCAAGGGGGTCTCTGTGTCCTCATTGTGGTTAACAAGCCATGGTTTGTTAGCATAGTTAGGTTCCTACGACGATTCACTGACATACCATATTAAACCCACATCTTGGTTTGTCGTTTTGTCTGAAGCCAGCCAGCAGAAACAAATATGGAAAACGGCTTTGAAAGGTGTGTAGCCACCACACCTGAATTACCTTGATCCAGTCTGGGGAACTTTTATTAAAGGCCCCTTCTACGTCCAGTGACAAAAGAGCTATTTAACCTATATCAGGCATTTGTTTCCAAAACACAGATTGGAGGACTTCTGAAAAGAGCCCTGCAAGGTAGATTATATTTGGATAACTTCTGGCTTTGCACCGACAGAAAGCAGAGACTACCCAGGAAAATTCTATCCACCTTCCCCAGATTGGTGTCCCCTGACGTGTTGTGTTGGATTAGGTATGTATTCCTTCATTTATTTAATTCTACGCGCTTTTCAGCCTAGAGAAGGAGTCACGGTCTAACACAACTGTTCAGTGCAGGCTGCAAGGAAAGCAAGCAAGCAAACGAATAAATGAATTCAACACCGCTTTCTCCCTTCCCCGATGTCATAGCACATCATCAAAGCATCAGTCCACCTTTGAACTCCAGAGATGAAAAAAGACATTTGTTTTTCACCAGGTGCTAATGCGGTGAGGAGAGGGAAGAATGAGATTGCCACAGCTCGGGGGCCACCACAGAGAAGATCCCGCCATGAGTCACGACCAGACGACGCCCCGAACCACACTGAGATTCAGAGAAAGGTCTCTCCCTTACATTTGAGGCCGGAGGCCAGAGAACTATGAGAGGGTGGTTCCTTAGGAAAGTGCTTATTTCCGCTTACCTTTCTACCAAGAAAATGATGCTCGAGACAGCTTAGAGAAGCGAGAACTCAGTGCCCTGTAGCAAAGCTATTCCAGGCCGGATATGCAAGTGGAGAACGGAGCGGATGCCACAGGGGTAAAAACCTTCGTTTCATGAAGCTTCAGATAAATTTATGCAGCGGTCGGTGCTGAACACTTTGTTCCCGGAGCCTGCTGGCAAAATCCCAGTCATGTGTACCCAGCCCTGGAGGGAAGGACACGGCCCCATAATCTGAGGAAGGGGGAAGCCTCTAAGTTGGTTGCCTGACCCTACTAATTTCCGTCGGCTGCACAGCTCCCCACGGTGCCTCTGCAGTTTTCCTTCTTCGCTTCCTCGTTCTGACAGCTTCGATTTAGCCTTTTTCTCTGAACCACTTAGTTCTGATTGCGATTAATTGTATGCTACAATAAAGGCCTTTCCATGCAGAGCGGCTCAGAAAGAAGGCAAATATATTTCAAACAGAAGCGACTCTTCTCGCGCCGATGCATGCAGACGGGCAGGGAAGACTCGCCAAGCCAAAGAAAGACGTGAGCCGGGAATTCTCCTCCTCTAGTGCTCTTACACACTTTGTAGCGATACCCCCTGGGGGATTATGGGAGCTGCTGCCCCACATTTGGAGGAGCTAGATGGGGAAAGTGGCACGAAGCCAGACGTGGCTGGAAAGCAAATCGCCAGATGTTTGGGACTCCCAGAAGCCCCTGCCAACAGTCAGGAAAACTGGGACCTGAAGCCCCGAACATCGGGAGCCCTGCTTCCGGCACACACCCGTGTACAACTGGACGCTTTTTTCCTTGAAAGTAACATCAAGTTGCCAGTCCTCATGGGTCCTGAACATGGGAAGCACCAGCTCAGCAGAGGCCTTTCCCTGCTCTATTGGGCACTTGAACCCGTGGCCCCCTGGGTGCCAAAGACGCGCTCAACGCCACCCCTTCTCCCAGCTCCGGTCTCTGAACCGGAGGAAGCGGAGCTCCTGTCTCCCGCTGCGGCACAGAACTCCTGGCAGTCCCCAGCCAGGTGCAGCCGAATGGGAGGGGGTCAAAGGAAGTGGGGAGGGGGAGAAAGCACCGCCGCCCGCAGGGTGCTGAGGAAGGAATGAGGCGGGGGAGAGGGGGCGGCTGCAGGGCACAATTAAACTCTCTCTGCCTGCCTGTCTGTCTCCTCCAGCCGGGCAGGTGCGCAGGGGGAGAAGGAATGGGGAAGAATGCAAGCAGCGGGAGAGGCAGAGCGGCTGGTGTTGAGCTCCGCCAGTGACGTGAACGGGTTTGGGGGTCGGGACATGGGGGCAGACCACCAGGCAGAGGCTCGGGACCAGGGCAGCAGCACCAGAGCCAAGACCGACACCCAAGTCCGACAGAAAAGTCCAAGTTGTGGGCACAGAAGAGACCGAGGTCAGGAATCGGGGCGGGCGAGACAAGGACGGGGCCGAATCCCCCACAGCGCCTGTGAGGACCTGCGCTGCCCAGGTGGGATGGCATGCAGGGAATGGACGGTGAGATTTGGCCAGGTGCGGTGCAAAGAGGAAGCCCGGTGTCACGGAGAGCAGAGCTTGCTCTTACGTAGCTCTTGCGCGGGGACACAACCAGCAGGAACGTTGAGGGGGCGTCCCGTGACCCCTAGATCTTGACCACAAGGAGCCTTTATCCCAGTTTGGTTTGAGCTGCCAGGCTGGAATGATCAGAAACAAAGGAAGAGGTCTCCTGAGCATGTACAGAATGCCCCTTCTCAGCTGAAAGCAGCTGCCACAAGCAACAGTTGAAGACAGAGGTTGCCCAGCTTGGAGATTATGTAGGCATCCAAATCAGCCTTCCAGACATGTTTGGAGTTGGAGGGCAACACTCAGAATTCCCAGTTCAATGGCCCTGCTGCAGGGGAATTCTGGGAGCTGCAGTCCAGGTGTCTCTGAAGGCCACCAGGCTGGGGAGCCCATCCCGGATAAGTCACCCACAACGGCATCAACGCCTGACAGGCGGGACCTTAATTTTCCCCACACCAGACGCTCTTGCTGAACCAACTCTCAATCCCACCACAAGGCCAGGCCTGCCGGGGGCTTCGGGGCTGTTGTGACAGAAACGCTTTATTTCTTAAAAACAAAGGCTGGGAGGGAGAGGGGAAAAGGGGTGAGATTCGGCTTAGGGGATGTGTGTGCGCAGCCAGCGAGAGGGACCGGCAAAGACTCCCACTGACAAAGGGATGCCATCCTTTCTTAGTCCTGTCTTTGCTTCGCAAGGAACTCGTTTCTCCCCAAGGAGAATTAAAGCCGGGCGTTTGAAAAGACAAACCACAACCGGTGGGCTCAGTCGTGGTACATCTTCAGGAGACAAGCCTTCAGCGTTCCCGTGTATCTCTCCCAGAGCGCTTGGTGCCTGCAGCGGGGTGAAAAACGGAAGGACTCCGGTTAGAGCTAAAGCAAAGGCTGGGCTGCGGGAAGAGCATGTGAAGGTGAAAAAGAGACCATGGTCTCTCTGCTCGGGAACAGACCAAGAGGCCTAAGAAAAGTCTTTCCCAGAAGCCACTGGAATCCACCTCTTATGACCAGCCTGGAACAATGGGAGCTGTAGTCCACAAAACCTCGCGGAGGCAAGAGCCGATCCGTTCTCGCTCTCCAGCAAACGGCAGCGAGATACACGTCACTCCCGATTCTAGTGGCAGCGCTCAGTTAGATCCCCGACCGTTGGAGCTCAAAAGGCCCGTTTTGCATTTTGCAAGGGTGCCGTGGGTGCTCTCACAAAATGGCTGCTCGGGGCAGCAGCGGGGCTTGTCCGTTTAGAAAATGGTCATCGTGGCCTGTTGGAAAAACCTTCCTCCCCCAGTAGTTGAACTGGTAAGACCGGAAGAAAAGTGCTTTGCCCAAGAACTGAGGTTCAAGCTGCAGGAAGGGGGTTTCCGTGGCAAAATGCAAAACCATTCTAAATAAAGATGGTGCTACTTTGGAACATGCCAGGCCTCTGGCTTAAAAAAAGGAGAATTCCCAAAGCTTTAAAATAGTAAACAAAAATTAGGAGGAGCAGGAGGGGATCATAATTAGCAGTTATCAATCCATGATTTTGGCTAAGTTCTCGCTTCCCACCTGCTGAGGAAAGGGAGACCCCTGAGGAGCGGTGTGGTCCTTGTGGGGGTGCCAGGAACCACAGCCTTGGAGGAAACTTGGTGGGGGGGAGAGATAGGACCCACCGGGGGGGGGGGGGCAGGGTCTGCACACACCTGAATGCCTCCAGTGTGTGAGCACAAGCCGTGTATTGTGTCAGGAAGAGGCGGACGTCGTTGGTGCTCCATTTATCCGACCGAAAGGGCTCCACAAACTGCAAAGGTACACGATGCACATCAAAACAGAGCAGAGGCGAGATGCCCCAAAGTCTACGGTGCGGGAGCAGAAATTGTGCCCTTGTTCCAAAACATGGAACACCGAGCCCTCGGGAATCCACAGCCCAATGCATTGGCTTTTATGTGCTTTACGTTTCACGCCCGGTAGAAATCCTTTAGATTAAAACATAAACCATGGAAACACAAAAGCTGCAAGACAAGACCTCTTATCTGGGGGTCAAATCCAGCCCTCTGGGGTTCCTCAACACTGCCTTTGCCCCTCCCAGCAATCCTTGGACACTTTCCCGGCTTTTGTGCAGTTTTCCCACCCACTCCAATATGTTATTCCTGGCAGGAAGAATTGCAGTAAACAAACAGGGACAGCCCCCCCCCCTCGTAAGGTGGTGAGCAAGACCAAGGGCAAATTTACAGGTTGTGGGAAGGGTCACCCAAAGGTTTCCATCCCAGCCCAGTCTTTTTCTCATTCTCCACCCTGAGAACCTCCTGTCACCACTTTCCTTACCATCCACCTTGATGAGGGGCCCTGTTGAATCTGAAAGCTTGCTACTTGGGGACAGCTTTGCTGACCTTAACGCTTGGTTGTGAATTCAAAAGTATTAGGAATTTACTGCTTCTTCGGACAACGTTCCCTGGTTCTCCTGCCCTTCTGAAACACGCACTACCAAAACCATTGTGTCACAGTCTTTCTTTTGGTCTCCCCCTGCCCCAACTTCCCGATGCCGAAGGAACCGCGTACCTTTTCCACCAGGTCGACGAAAAAGTCCCGGACATCTTTGCTGTGAGTCAGCTTTGAAGCAATGTTGATCATTGCCCGAGAGAAGTTCTGCGAGGGGTGACGGTTAGAGGTAATCAGAGATAGTCCCTCTTTCCTTCCCCCCACCCCAAAAATACTAACCCCCCTTCTTTTTTAGGTCTGGCTTTTCATTGAGTTTGAGCAGGAAAAACTGCACTTCGGAAACACTTCGGTACTTGTTTTTCCAAAGCAGGGCCCTTCCACCGACGAATGCAAGAAAATGTGTATTTTTTAAAAGGGTGCATTTAAAAAAAAATGCGAAGGGAACATGGTTGGAATGGCCATGCTGTTTGGAGGAAAATGCAGTCAAGGTTGCAAACTGGCAGGCTTTATTTGCTGCCTTGAGATTTTCAGAAGTCCAACAGCCCCATCTGATGGCCAACAGAGAATAAGCAGGGCCAATATCTGGCCACTGGGCCATTCCGACAGAGGGAAGGGGCTCCCAGAGAGGGAGGTGCGGCTACAGAGCCGGATGCAAGACCTCACGGCCAAAGAACGCAACCCACGGCAGGTCCCCCGCACCCCAGTCCTGGCGGCGTACCTTGAAATTGGCTTCCATTTCGTTGTAGACGGAAATCTTTCCTCGCAGGGACGTACACACCAGACTGAGACGTAAAAGAGAGGAGGTCAGTGGGGTCCTGGAAAACCTTAAGCCCCGGACCCGTTTAGGAAGGTACACAGCCTGGGACTCAAGACACTTGGCTTTGTCTAGCCTGACGCTCAGAGTGTGACCTTGGGTTAGTCTCTGCTTCAGACATGCACATGGTGGGCATGTCGTGAGCAGAGCCGGCTGGTGCCGGAGGTCAGTCTAGATGGCCCGGGAGGCCCCTTCTGACTCGCTCTGTTTCTATGTTTCTCGTAGCCCAGTCTAGAGGGTTGTTGTGGGTTGTAGTCTAACAACACCCACAGGCTCCCAGTTCCCCCACCCGTTGCACAAAAAAAGAGGAAGAATGCCGTGTCTCTGAGCATACACAGAGAATTTTCCTGCTCTGCTTCTGAGCAACTACAGAATGCCTCTCCCCAGACATTGGAGATGATGCCAGAACTTTTGGAAAGGCTTGGATTTAGAAATTAACACTCCCCTCTGCCGCTCAGACGCAAGTGGCCGTCTGAAACGAGAACATGCCATCTGCAAAGCTCAGGAGGGGAAAATCAGTGATCTTCCTCCACTGCAGTCACAGCTGCTAGAAATCTGCCCACCGGGTTTCTTTTTGGATTAACCTGCTCATTTCAAATTGAGCCGTGACCTGCCTGCAGGGAGAGAGGAGTGTCGACTTCCAGCCGCCGTATGCGGCCGATCGTTGCAACGCAAAGCATTTTTAACCTGCCCCTGCAACAGAAATGGCTAGGACGGCTCTGTGGGTGGGGGGCCACACAGAGGCCTGTGTCTTTGGACTCCCTGGGGACGGGGGCAGCTAAATGGCTTTGGCCGCCTGAAGCAAAGAACAGCGCCCCATCCGGAATCTGGTAGCAGGACCACGTCCTCCAAGTTGCCCGAAAAGGGCAGACTAGCTTAGGGGAAGACCTCACTCCAGAGAAATATTTCTGATCCAGCACCCCACTGGCATCACCTCTTGTGGAGGTCCAGCAAGTCTTTGTCTGTCATCAAGATCTTTAGCTCTTTCAGGCCCTGCAGGAATTCCTTGTCCAGATCGACATCCATATCGTCCACATTGCTATCTGTGCGGAAGAAGAGACATGTGGAACTGGGAGGTGGGTGGGCAGTTTGGTCCTCTGTGTCCCGCAGGCCGGAAGATCCAGAAATTTGTATTTTTACAAGGGAACAGGCGGCAGTGCCAAGAGATATCGTCATGGGACCCTAAACTTTGTGAAACAGATGCACTAATTTGATGGAAAATGTTTCATGGATGCAGCAGCGGGTTTACTTGGGCATAAGACCCTGTTGGACACGACGGACGTTGCTTCTGGTTGAAAGAGCTCTTAAGTTATATTTTAAAGCTGAATACAAATATACTTTGGTAGCACTGCTTGAAATCCTGCTGTTTTCTAAGTAGGACTTAGCTTCTTATATCCTAGTGGAACTTCACGCCTCCCATCTCTGCTCCCCAGAATGCCCCCCATACCGGCTCCAACTTTAGATAACTTTCTAAGTGATTTCTCACAGTCACAATGAGGACTAGAACCTTGTTGTTTGGGCCAAACTTACCCACTGCTCCCAAAGTCCAGTTCTGAATCATCTGCTCCGCACAGTACGCAAAATCTTCAAAGGTCAAATACTGCAGTTTCTTTTTACCCGTCTCAAAACGGCTGTTGGCAAAGAACACAATGGCAGCGTAATCCCTGAAAAGACCGAGAGAGAGGGGTGAGAGGCGGAAGTTGAAGAGCTTTAGGTTGGAGCTTTTCTTTTAAGCTCTTCCAATACTTATCAGGGCCTTCTTCCTGTTGTTGTTAGTCGCGAAGTCGTGTCTGACCCATCGCGGCCCCATGGACAACACTCCCCCAGGCCTTCCTGTCCTCACCCAAGCTCACGCCGACTGCCCCAGTGACCCCATCCAGCCCCCTCATCCTCTGCCGTCCCCTTCTTCCTTTGCCATCCATTGTTCCCAGCATCAGGCTCTTCTCCAGGGAGTCCTTCCTTCTCATTCGGTGGCCAAAGTATTTGAGTTCCATCTTCAGGATCTGGCCTTCTAAAGAGCAGTCAGGGTTGATCTCCTCTAGGACTGACCGGTTTGATCGCCTTGCGGTCCAAGGCACTCGCAGGAGTCTCCTCCAGCACCACAGTTCAAAGGCCTCAGTCCTTCGGCGCTCAGCCTTCCTTATGGTCCAGCTTTCACAGCCATACATTGCAACCGGGAAAACCATCGCCTTGACTATACGCACTTTTGTTGGCAGGGTGATGTCTCTGCTGTTTAGTATGCTGTCTAGATTTGCCATAGCTTTCCTCCCTTCTTCCTACAGCCCTTTAACTTGTCTTGTGGGACATCAAAGTCAAGAGAGCTTGACAGGTGAGTGAGAAAAACGCACAGGGTCACGGAAACCCTCTAAGAGCACCCCCTGGCCTCGCCCAGTCTGGTCCCTCACCTGGCTAGCCGGTCTGAGAGCAGGAAGTGCTGCTGGATGTTTTCTACCAGAGATCCCCGGAGCTCTTCAACGGCCTTGAAGACGCGCTTGAAATTGTCAAACTGAAACCAAGCACACACTTAAACTCTCTTTCTCTGCTGGGGAACTGAAATTCACTTTTTACTGAAATTCACCGAAGTTACTTTTTAGTTTTACCAGTTCATCTTCTAGCATTTGTGACCAGCCATGCCCATTTTATGGATGGGCAATTCCACTCCCGTGCCTACGTGGGAGCCATTTTGTGAGAGTGCCCATGACACTCACAATTCCAGCTGCATCGTTCGACCCCCCAAAAAGCTGGGGATTCCTGAACTAAACAACTCCTGGGCTGTTTGCAGCAGAGTGAGTGGATCATGATAGACTAAAATAGTATAAAATTGGTATGTTTCTAGGTGGCTTTAGAGGCACAGATTCCCTACTAATTAATAAGCTGAACAGACTGAGCTGGACTGAAGTTGTGAACCCTTCTTGTTCCTTTTGATATTATCCTGATCTTTGTGAATTCTGACATGAACTGACCTAACCTGAAATTTTAGGCTAATGTAAATGTGAGACATTATGTTACTCAGTAGCTTCTGCACTTCCAAAAAACAGAGTATCAAAACAGACAAATAAAATGACACATTTTGGGAGCAGAGATATAAAACAATAAAATTTACACATGATGGTAAAATAGGCTGCCTAAAGCAACAGCCCAGATTGAATCTCTACAGTGCCATATTTCCAGGAGAAAGGTAAGATTCCCAAACTGGCATATGGAAGAAGGGAAAAGAATAAAGCACCTAAAAAAATATGGGGTGGAAGGGAACAAGATCCCATAAAATGTGGAGGCTGAGGGGAAATTCATGCTTACATTTGGGGAAAACATTCCTAAAGACACAAACGACATATATATTTAACATTCAGCACGTTTCGTCCCAGATAAAATATATATTCACAGCTCACTGCAGAAGCAGGACGGGAAGTTCAGAGCTGGTGGATCAAGCCCAAGCTAGAGGCGCACCTGCCGGCGGCAGCTTTTGAGGGTCACCCCCGTTTTGACGCTGATGTCGTCCAAGTCTTTCTTGGTGCCCTTGGAGAGTTTCTTCCCCAGCACCTCCCGCACAAAAGCCTCGTCAAAGGTGTAGTATCTGGCGTGGAAAATGGGGCCACACAAACAGGTTTAACGATCATTTAATCCAGGCCACGCAACCTTGTTCCCTCCAGATGCTTTGGGCAACAGGTCCCCAAATTCCTGTCCACTGGTTGTACTGGTTGGGGCTGGTGGGGGTGATAGTCAACACCCCTGGAGGGCAAAAGCCCTGAGTGAGTCTGGGAAAATTAACCAGGCCAAATAAGATCACCAGCCTTCAAGGCATGAATGAAACCGGATCACCTCTTGTAAACTAGAGGAGGAAAACCAAATGCTCGGGCTGCCACCTTAGCATCCCACAGCAATTCTGTGCAGGCTGAGGAAGAGTTTTCCCCTCCGCCAGCTTTCTACGCTCAGCACAGAGAAAAGCTTGGCTCCCTTTCTGTCGCCCCGCGTGCTCGCCTGCAGGTCGTCCCAGATTACCTGCGGCGACCAGGGGCTTGGCTCAAGCTCCCCCCGCCGTGCTTTCCCAGGCCCTCCTCCCGAACGAACGTCCCACCTCTCGATCAGCAAGGTCTGGCGGCAGGGCAGGATCTGGAAGAGCAGCTGGTTGAGCAGCTTCGGGGGCGAGTGGAGGAGGCGCTCCAGCATGTAGAAGGTGCGGTAGTGGTCCATGGTGTCGCTCTGCAGGACGTCCACCGTGGCGCCCGTCTGCTCCAGGATGCCGCTGCGCAAGCGCAGGGCGACCGCATCGTTCACTGTGCGACAGCAAGAGCAGAAGGCGCGGCCATTCGTGAGCTGGCCGTGACCTACGGGGAGGCTGCGGAAGCCCCGTCTAAACCTCCTTCTCTGAATCGTTCCGATTTTAGTATATCTGCTGCCGAAGAAGCCCGATCTAAATCTTCTGCAAATGCCCAAGAGGGCGAACGAGGAAAAGAAAGGCAGAAAACATGCAATAAAGGCCCAAGCCAGGGCAGGGCCCATTGAAATGAATGGGCTGCAAAGGCGCCGTGGCCAGGGAAGCCCCCTTGATTCCAATGGGCTTGCCCTGCGTAGGATTGGCATCAGATAAAACCCGAGATACACTAATGCACCGTTACTTAAAGCAGCGGTCTGCCCACGGTGGCTGCGAAGGACGGGAGGCACTGGGATCCGGACGGAGGGGAAAGGCTTCTACACAGAGTGCACACTTAAAGAATGGAATTCAGTTCCACGAGATGTATGCAAATTGGGTGGCTCGAAAAGAGATAAATGCATAGTATAAGAGTAAAGATGAATAATGAGAAAATCACAAATACATTAAAAAAATTCCAAAATACCAAATTTCAAACAGTTTATTTCAGGCCCGTTAAAACAACTTGGTGTGTCCCACGTATGTTGTTCAATGCCTGGAAGAAGAGGGCAGGCTTAACCCGGCACTGAAAGGAGGACAAGGTGGGCGGGTTTTCGTGGGAGGTCAATCCACCATTTGGGGCCACCACTAAGGCGGCCTCGCTCCTGTGGCTCCCCTCCAGGCCTGCCTCCAAGGGAACCATTGAAAGGCAGCTTCAGATGTAGCCTGAGGTCAGGAAAAGCATCACAGCAGGAAGGACCATGGAATGATCCAGAGTGACTTCACTTTGTTCTCAGGCGGGGAAGCCAGGGAAAGAGAAGGCAGAACCAACCGAGGTTTTGGTCTCTCTCACCTGAGTAACCGTCCAGCCAGAGTTGGTAGACTTCCTCATCAATCAGCGTGGTATTCCCCACAAAGATATCCAGATTGCTGGTCATGGCTCACGAAGCCAGGCCTTCCCGCCTTGGGATCCGTCACCAGCTCCTGGCTTTACCTGGGGACTCCAGGAATCAGAGGGGTGGCTGCAAAAGGAACAGAGGAGCAATCCCTGCTGTTTGCCCAGCGGCCACAGGGATCCTGGAGGTGCAAGGTACCCCTCAACCCATACATAGGGATGTCTTCATACCCATACATAGGGATGTAGCGGCATTTTAAATGTTAATATTATTGAATTTTATCTGGCCAGGGCGGCTTATTTTATATTGTACTTTTGTATTTTTAAGCTAATGTTTATATTTTTTAATTTAAGATTATAATTATTTTAATTTATTGTTGTAAGCCGCCCCGAGGCTTCGGCGAATGGGGCGGCATAAAAATGTTTTAATAAATATAATAAATAATGTCTTCCAAACCCAAAGCCTCTTCAGCTCAGCCACAATTCATGATTACTGGATTTTTTTTTTGTTTGTTTGTTTGGTTGGTTAATAAAACAAACACTATGGAATCTTCCTTGACTATCACCTCCAGCAACAACTGCTACTAAGATGCCTCCTGCCCCATTGAAAAGCTATTTATCTTTCCTTCTATCACACAAGGAAAAAAGGGTGGGAAATGAAGGCTCTTTCCCTGTCCCTCTTTTTTCGATAGAAAAATACGAGTAAATAATATTTCAGCCTCTTTTAGCAGTCTTTGCAAACCACCCTAGACACTGTACAGGGAAAAAAGCTGTCTTAGAAACTTTTCCAGATCAAACAAAATCTTCCTAGACATTTGCCAGGGCGAGGGGAAGAGGTGGGAGGTGTTAACACACACAAACACCTGTGACCAATTTCTTTGGTCATTTCCTTATTGTGTTTGTTAAATGCATCTTTAAACACCAACAACATTAAACCCTCCCCGTAGCTTAAAGGACGCTTTTTCAAAAAAGAAGAAAAACGCAGGACTGACTTAAGGTGCAATTCTGGGCGCAGATCGGAAAACCCCCACGACCCCCAGTATGCCCAAACTGTGCACCCCTCCTTCCTATCGTAAAAGGAAGGCAGTCTGTACACGCACAGATGCGCTGCGGCCTGAGCGCCTTCCGCGACAGTCGTGCTTAAGAAAGGCGGAGCTCTGCACATGCTCAGATGCCCCATCCAAGGCATCAGAACCTTCGCGGAAAAAAACTCTGCCTCTCACATCTCCCAGCCGCCGAGTCCCCCCCCCCCCCCCCTTTGCACAGAGAACCCAGGAGTCCTGGCTGCAGACCCCCACCTTATTTCGCCCCCGACCTTTCCCTCCGGCTAGCAGCAAACAAACCGCCGACCTCCATCCAGCTGCCCGTGCCTCGGATAGAGCCCTTTCACATGACCCCGCGAGGTTCTCTTCCGGGTTATGCTTCGGCTGGACGCCTTTGCGCATGCGCCGCTTTGCCCACAGTCCTGAGGCCCCACCCTCCATCTTTAAACCGGGCATGATGGGGCAGTACCAGCTAAAGGTTAGCTCAAGCTCCGGTGTGGGGACGATAGGAAGCAGCGCTGATGAGGCTGAGGACTAGAAGCTTTGTTGCTAAGCTCTCTTTCTCTGATTTACCTCGCTCTTTTAACATTCCCGTTTATTTACCCATAATATGGCCACTGTTCAGCTAGGGCCGTATTTAATATTCTTGCAAGGCAAAATGAAGTAGCTTGCTGAAAAAGAAAAATTAGAAAAATCCGCAGAGCCATAATGGTGCAATGCCTTTATTAGCCTTTATTAGGGCCAACTCAAATATCAGCAAAAAAATGTGCAAGCTTTTGCTGTCCAGAAATCCAAAGCCAAATTAATATGGATCTCAAAACTTTGCAGTTTTTTTTAAACTGATCTTTAAGTTGGTCCGCTATAGGTATTATACTAATAAATATGGGCTGTGCTTTCATTCTTAGGCATTCCTTTCAAATGGGGAATAAAGTGCGATCTAGTAACATGAGGCACCCAACAAACTTGAAAGCCATGGGACTTTCAACCCAGTGCCCTCCAGATTTGTCAGAGTGCAACTCCCATCGTCCCCAGCCAACATAGCCAACCCCTCTGGAGGGCTCCAGGCTGCAGAAATCTGTTCTATATCAGATTAATTTTAAGAAGAATATAGGAGCTTCTTTAACCAGGATGTGTTATGTGAGAATTCCCATCATAAACAGCATGGCTAACAGTGCATCCATTTCAAGGGTTTGTTTATTTATTTATCGATTTATATCCCGCCTTTTTCCCACAAAGGGCTCAAGGCAGCTTACATCATTCTCCTCCTCCACCTTATCCCTACAACAACAACCCTGTGAGGTAGGTTGGGCTGAGAGTCTGTGACTGCCCCAAAGTCACCCAGTTTATTTATTTATTTAACACATTTTTATGCCGCCCCCATCGCAACGAAGCCTCAGGGCAGCTCACAACAGAAACAAAATACATAAATAAATAACAATATAACAAAAAATATTTAAAAACATCTGGTGCATCTTGACTAAAAATTTTAAATCCTATAAATACAAATAATTTAACAATATAAGTAATAAAAAGGTCTTAGCCCGGCACCGAAAAACAAATAACGACGGCGCCAGGCGGACCTCTCCGGGGAGCGCATTCCATAGGTGGGATTCCATAGTTGGCTCCATGGCCGAGCGGGGACTCGAACCCGGATCGCCAGAGTCCCAGTCCCATGCTCTTAATCACGACACCACACTGGCTCCAGAAATTCAACATGCAGAAGCTTTATCAGTTGAATTTCCAGTCTGCCACCCTGCGATCAAAGCGGTGGGAGCCCTGCCAGAATTGTAGGCGGGATGGAACAGCTCCAACTTTCTTGACATGCCTTTGTGGGTGGAAAGAAAAAGTCTTTGTCTTTTTCCGTTCTCTCCGTCCGGACTTGTGCAAGAGAAGTTGGGGGCTACAATGGGTTGACTGACATATACTCCCGTTGGTTCCTGATTCCAGAGAAAAGGCCCCATTTTGAAAGCTGGAAAAGCAGCAGCCCTGTATCATTTATCCGAGGCCGCTTATTGGATGATTCCTGGCAACAATCCGTCCTAGCATCTGACAGAGTTCACCAGTAATTCACAGGAAGACAAAAGTTCATGGTAAAGCACATATTTTACTTTCAGAGGGTCTCAATTTCAAATTTCAGGTAAAGCAAAGATTCTGCCTGAAACCCTGGACAGCCATGCTAAATGGATCTAAGCAGGTTCCAGTGCTATTTAAATAAATTTGTTCAAAAGCATGAGGACTGGAATCTTTCTTCTTTAGGGAAAGGACTGTAACTCAGCAGAACAGAGCGAGAGGAAGAATTCTCCAGGCAGGGTCAAAAGCGATGGAACACTGGGGCTAGTTACAGACCACAACTGGCTTTTACTAATTAATAAAATTGCTGGTAAAATTAGAGAATCCTAAGAAAATCAGCAGAAAATGAAACACACCAAAGCAAAAAAATAATGGGCCAACGTGAAAACTACACAACCAGAACCCAACAAGGTGTGCACCAAGAATTGAAGCAAGAAGGAGAATTTCCAGAATTTATGTGTACTGTTTATTTGAGAAGCATACATTCTCTGGGCAGCTTACAAAATAAGCCAGTAATTAATGGACTGAAGAGCTAATTCCAGCAACGATCAATCAGATTTGATTAGAGTATTCCTTAGCCATGTAAGGTATATTCTTCTCTCTGCACAAGCTTTCTGCAAGCTGGAGCCTTCCAAGTTCTTTTGGGCTACAAATCCCAACGTTCCCCACCCCTGTCTAGGGTTGATGGGAGTTGCAGTCCCTCATTAATTACTGTGTCTACTAGGACCACTGACGCGCCTTCCAGCCAGAGCACTGAATTGCATTTCCCACATGCCCTGGAGCCTGTAATTCAAGTGGCGGGGGAGCAAAAGGATGAAGGAACGGGGCGCAAGGAAGAGCGGTCGGGGCCATAAATACCGGGTCGAACCGCCTCTCTCGGGGCACCACAGCTTCCACTGCCAGCGCCCGAGTCCCCTCCTTTTCTCCACACAACAACCCTGCGAGGGAGGTCAGGCTGAGGATCGGCGCCGGCCCCACGTCGCCGCGCGAACTGCGCGGCCAACGGCCCTGGGGATCGCGCGCTGCCGGCAAGCGCCGCGACCGCGCAGCCCGCGAGCGACGGCGTCGAACGAGGCAGCGGCAGGGGAGATGCGCGGCGCGGGCCTCCTCTCGCACTGGATGGAGCGCCGCGCCGGCGGGGCTCCCCTTCCCGAGCCCGGACTGGGGCGGGCGTGTGGGCGCCCCCGGCCCCGATCCCGCCCCCGCGCCCCCCGCCCCTCCTCCGGCGCAGGCGCCCCTGGCTCCGCGGATGCACCTGCTCCCCTACCGTTTAAGCCGCGCACTTGCAGCGCGGCCGGCCGGGCGGGCGGGCTTCTCGCGGCTCCGCCTGTGGCAGCCGCCCGTCCGGGCGTCCCGTTATCCCGGCGGAGGCGGAGCGGAGCGGAGCGAGCGCAGCGCAGCGCAGCGGAGGAGGAGGAGAGGCGCTCCGCGCGGCCGGGCAGGATGTCCTGGCGCCGCGACTGAGCCGGGCGCGCGATGCCGCTGCTGCCGCCGCCGCCGCCGCCGCCGC